TCATTTGTGCCAAAATTTTTGGAGCTTAAAGGAGTGTAGTGAAATTTGTCAGGCATGCTTCTACTGAGACATCAGAAAAGACATCTGAAAAGTGAGACCTACAACCCCCAAACCAGTTCCTGTCCCTCTCAAAAGCATACTTGGAGAACAATACAGTTTTGTGTCCTGCCATCACATTGGTGGGCTTGTATCCATGGAGTCTTCCTTGAATATTGTATGTTATTGATAAGATATGAATGGGCCTTTATATTATGTGTAATTGTGGGCCAACGGCTCTGTACTTGCATTGTTTCCACAGGAGTGGAACCTAAACCTCTAAAATATTGACATGGGAGTAAAAGTGATTTTTTTTTTTAACTCTTTGTAATAATAATCCACTGCCTGTACAAAACGTGAAGATGATAAGAGTCTGGTAAATAAATAATTGAAATAAATACACATGTACAAAGAAAGTCCTGTGTCTTAGTTTTTCAGTGCACTTTAGATTGTCCCAGGTGGCATAATTGCACAGAAAAGTTTGTAGAGCACCCATGACCTTACGTCACATTAAAAAAAAACTTTGGTTCATATAGACCTCAAAGATGTGTCCTTAAGAGGCTCCTTGTTCATCACAAATGCACATTTGTAGAGATCCACTTCCTAATTGAAGTCACTCGTGTGTATACACCAGGATAACCTATTCTTCCACAGCCATGGCCCCAACTAGTTACTCCAGCAATAAACCACTGGCCTGAAGGCTCACGACATGCAAGTGGTCCTCCTGAGTCTCCCTGCAAAAGAAAACATGTTAAGAACTCACATGTTTACATTGAATGCAATATCATTAAGTGGGAGCAAGGTGGCCAGATAGAGCACAAGAGAATGAATAGCTGCTGAGATGCCAGGTGCTTTGACCGAGACAGGAATGCCTGTGGGTTCCCTTACATAAGAAGATTACAGTGAGGGAGCAGGTGAGAAGGGGAGCTCTGTATTTTAGGAAGGAAAGTCCACTCAGTCCCATCAGATAAGAAACATAAGTGCAGCAATGTTCCTTAAAAGAAAATACTTAAAGAACCAGTTTGTATTGTTAAAGGTAAATGTTAAAATTTTAAAAGTAACCTAGAAAGGGAAACATTCACTTTCTATCTTGAACAACTATTCACTGTGAGATAAGAATCAAAGAAATGTTCTGTTTAACAATAAGACAGTTGCAGAGCCCTCCCAAAAGACCAGCCTAAGGTTCAAAGGTTTGTGTGTCACCCAATTCTTGTACTACATCTCACCAAGCAAGTGTCCCGGCCCCCCTCCATGTACCCAGCACACATCATGTTTGGAGAGAGCACATTTCCATAAGAGAGTTGGCACTCTGCCTGGTCAATGATGTTCACAGTAGCCTTCTGCAGTAGGTTAGTTAGGGAGCCTGTGTTAAGAGTTATAAAGTGATGAAAGCATATAAAATGCAACTGACATTCATGTTACAACATAGTACTCACCTCCCTCCCTCATTGACCCCCATCCAGTGATGTAGCACTCAGCTTTTGTCATGAAGCGGTGCACTGCAGAGGGCAGGCATATGGACTGTATAGTGTAGGACATTGGTGCAGACATAGACAGCTCCAAAAGAGCCACATCATAGTTCATGTTGGTGTTGTTGAAGTGTGGATGAATAAGGACCCTCTGAATGGGAATGACAAGGGCTCCTACCCCAGAGCGCAGCACAGATCCTAGGATAACTGCCCAATTATTGGGATTTGAGTCACTGTAAAAAGAGACTCACATCACTCATGTGTTTACACATGGATGCGGTTATTAATAACTTTATTATTCAGTACCTTTTGAAACAGTGTGCTGCTGTCAACAGCCACTTGCTGTGAATAAGAGTAGCACCACATCTGTGAAGCCTTTGGTACTGGAGGCTGCCAATCCAGGGCCACTCACCTCTTCGGGCTGTTACTCCACCCACAATCCTTTGAGAACCTAATGCTGGACGCATACCGCAATCTAAAACAAACAACACAACTTATTATAAAATGTGCTAATATAACAAATGAATAATAAATGAAAGGTTCATTGTACATTGCAAAAAAAAACAACTTGCAAATATATTTACTTACCACAGTTATGTTCATCTGCCTGGTTAGGACAGTCAACAACCCCATCACATTCTGGGTTTACCTTGTTTATGCACATAGTGGCACTACACTGGAAATTCGCAGTACAATTTGAAACTGGAAAACAGATGAAATTGAAGGAAAAAAAAATAACAACAAATAACACCCACACACCCACACCCGCACGCCCACGCATACGCACGCGCACACACGCACACACACACACGCGCACACACACACGCATGCACACACGCACACACACACATATTAAATGCCCTATTTAGAAGGCTATACCAAAAAGTGATGTATCAGACAGCATATCCAAAGCTATTGTCCAAGGATCAGGTGCATTGTAGAAAGTCTCTTCGGAAACAGTGGCTTGCAAACTGGTGTCCAACATTGGCTTTTCATGGGGCACCTCTGATTCGGTGTAGCTCAAAATCCAGTTTCGAAGCTTGGTTACCCGTGAATATACTCCAGGTCGGTTGATTTGTGCACAGCCTATGCCCCAGCTGACCACTCCAGCCAGGAAGAATCTGCCTGGGGCTCCTTCACACACTAAAGGCCCTCCAGAATCACCCTGCAAGAAAAACAAGAATGAGTGAATACTATTTTCACCATTACTACTGATGGGATTGCAACAAGATATTACACAATAACAATATGATTTATTTAACATAAAGGACAAACCTGACAGGAGTCCACTTTGCCTTGCAGGAAGCCAGCACACATCATGTTATGAGAGACTGCTCCTCTGTACACTGATGTCTTATTACACATTGCAGAGTCAATGACCTTCACCACTGCCTTCTGCAGATTGGTGGGCACCGTAGCTAAGTTCCAGAGAAAAGGGCAAATTTATCACACACACAAATGAAAATCCTTCATTGAATATAATATAATGTATTTACTATGTTTTCTATTTGCTTGTAGACTTACGACTAAACTGGTTAAGTGCTCCCCATCCTGACACCATGCAGGTCTGTCCAGGGGAGAACACATGAGATGCAGAAGGCAGACAGACTGGCTGAATGTAAGGACTGAAGATAAGGGGAGTTTCCAGCTCCAGAACAGTAACATCAAAGTCCGTGGTCATGGGGTTGTAATCTGGAGACACTATCAGTGACTTGATGTTGACCAATTTAGACTCAGACTCCTCACCACTCACCAGACGGGCCCCTACAAGTGCTGTCCACTCTTTGGGATCTTTGTCCCTGTAAAAACATCAGTTCATTTCAACTAACCATGTGCAATACAGTGACAGTCTACATAACAAAGCTATAAACACTCACCTCTCAAAGCAATGTGCTGCACTGACAAGCCAGCGTTCATTGACGATGGAGGCTCCACAGGTGTGTCGACCATGCAGCCTCAGACTGACCTGCCATGGCAGCTCTCCGTGTCTGGCGTCTTCTCCACCCACTACACGACTCCCCATGGCAGGACGAGTCCCACATGCTACAGAGACACACAGTCACAACTTTTACATGCACAGAGACCAAAGAGTGCACTAAACAATGACACTGAAATAGTTTTAGCCCCAGACCACTCTCTCAGTCTACAGGCAGGTCAAAGAACCAAATTGTTGCGAATGAGGGACTAAGAAATATTCAGATGTGTCTAGTAATTTAGTGTTAACATTTTGTACTTATAATTTCTAATAAAGATTGCTAGCATATAACTACACTTTTGGCAGAAATAAATAAGCATGAGTAAGGGAGTCTTATTCTGCTTTGTTACACTATATAAAGAGACTACTCACAACAGCGTGCTTCATCAGATTCATCTGCACAGTCTGGTAGAAAATCACATTCTGGATTCAGTTTGGTCAAACATTCGCCATTATCACAAGTGAAGGTGTTATCGGGGCACCTGGCTATAAAGCAAAGCCATTATTATACACAGAGCCTTAAACAAACACAAGTAAAACACAATGATATAAACTCACCATTAATGTCATTCCCAATGGGATAAAATGATTTTCCACTGGCTCCTGATGAAAATGGGAAAATTAGTTTCATTTCACACAGAAGTGTAAGTGATTTGTTATTATCATGTAAGCAGTCTGCATACCTAGTAAGATGATAGCTTTGATCTGCCCAAACTGTGGCACCTCTAGTGGCTGGCCATGCATTACTGAGTTGAGCCCAACTCTGAGCAAGTCCAGGACATAATTGTCAGAATACTGCTGAATCTTTGAATTTTTAAATATCAGTCGAAAAGTCACCATGACCCCTCCGTTAATATTTCTATGGAGAAAATGTAGTTTATTTGAAATATTTTTTTTTGGTTTTAATCCAATAAAAACAAACAAAAACAATTCAACATACCCATAGGCCAAAATAATACAATCAGTGTAATGATGAGAAATAGCTGAGGCTGAAAATATATTTTTTATCTAAAACAAAGAGAAAAAAGTGAATAACACATAAGTTGAATACAAAAGTAGTCCACAAAAAGTTAGACAACACTAACCTTAGACTTTAGGACTGTAGACAGCATTATGGAGAACCCAGAGTTTATATTTTGCAGAGCTGGATCATAGTTCAGACCCTTCAGCTCCACTGTCTCCATGAAGCTGTGCTGTTCCTGCACAAGGTATGCTGGTATGATGAAGAAAGAGCAGTTAGGTAATTGGTAACGTAGCATTTTAAGATAACATCAAAGCTACTGAGTTTGCAGACTTACTCGTAAGCAATCCCACAAAGACCCCAATAATGAGGAAAAGTACAAAGCTGGCCACAATGGCAGTCCTGTGACAGCCTTGCTTAAAGGAATCCCCAGATGGTCCACCCTCATCCTTTTTCACCTCCATGATGGAGCCACACCCACAATCTCACAAATCACATGCCCAGTCTACAGCATCCTGCCAAAGGAAAAACAATCTCAGAGGCCTAAGTGGCTGTGCCAAATTGAAAACATGTGTTAAAAGCTGAATTTAATTTATATTAAAACACACACATTTAGCGTAACTGGATGTTTAATGTAGATCACATCACATCAGCACTGAGTCTAATTCAGCTCTGAGATGGAGGAGATAAGAGGGTAATGCAGACCTTGGGAGCCATGTTACTTAGCAAAGAGCACACTGGAAGTGGAAAACACATTCCAAAATTTATTGTGAAAGTATAACAGTTGCAAACTGCGTTCGAAGTGCGCGCACACGTAGCCTATTGCACAAGTGTCCAACAAGTGTATTAAATTACAGCAGACAATACGGTCATTTTAACATAAACTCACTCACCCTTTCATCCTCCCTCTGCACGGTGACATTCAAGGCTTTACCACGGAGCGGACTCAGAAACGCGGACAGAGGATGTGCGACGATGCTGTGGAGCCCGCTCACCTATTTGTTCCACCTGCCAAGGGGCGTGCCGTGTAGCTCTGCTGCAGCTTCGCTTTTTTAGTTTGCTTTAGCAAAGTAACCCTCTCCTGAAAGCCCCTCAGCGACCACTCCTCCGCCCATTAGCCCTGATCCCATGGGCCTCAAGACCCTTTCAGGTTACAAATCTTTAAGTACACAAGCATCGGATGGAGGTTCATATTTTATGTTAACGCGAATGCACTACAAATACACAACATCAAACAACTTCAGAATAAAAATAAATCAGCATTATGGCCTCCCCATCTCTTCAGACTCTTTGATTGGTTGAGTATAAAATGGCATGTGGAAACAATGTTCAAAGGATGAAATAGTGTAGAACCACCCATCTTAAAGCACCTGCATTTAAAAAAAAACACTAGGGTCTTTGTCAGGGTGTGGACAAGCTTGAGTGGCTTATCTGCACACTATACCATAGCCCTTTATCTCTGTAAAATCACAACCAAATCCTCTGTTCTGAACACAGGGCTCAGTAGTTAAATATGACACAGTGACACAGTGAGTGGACTCTCCAAAAACACTATATTCTTTAAAGTTTAATTTTTCTTATCAAAACAAAGTAAAAAGTCTAAAAATAAATTTGCAATAATACTTCACCTAAACTGTTTGTATCATAGGTCAAATTATAGTTGGTATTTCACAAAGAAACATAAGTGTAGCGCTTCTGAGTGCCCTTCTCATGATCAACATTTTACAACAAAAAGTGTTGTGCATGTAATGCAATTATTACATTTTAGAAACACAAAAAACAAAAACATTGTAAATAACAATCTGAGACAAACAGTGAGAATATGTCAGCCATCCTGCTGCTGTATGAACGGATTGGGTATTGCCTCCATGCCGTCCTGAGGGCAGATGAGCACCACAGAGGTCCCTCTGCACACCACCAGCCCCAGTTGCCGCGTATCCTCCGTCAGCTTCAACTGGTCATCGGGATCTGCAGATGGACAGACAGAAAAAGTGTCACTGTATCATAGAAGCAGATAGGGATTAAAACGCCTACATCAAATGACAACAGCAGTAGATGCAACACTACTGCAGTGTACAGTGAACAAGGACTCTTTACATGCACGAAGTTCTACGACTTTGAATGTAATGGTGCAAACTTTGACTTGATTAGACTAGGCTGGACTAAATCTTTCCATGCCCATCCCAATATTAGGCCTGACAAAATAAGCTCTGCCATATTTATTGTGCATCTGTATTATTCTGATTGGTCATCTACACTGTGGCAATATCCTACATGTGAGGAACAGGGACACTTGTGCACACTTACCACGCATGTATTCGATGGTACCGTCCAGCACCAGGTTTAACAGTGGATCAAACCCCTTCAGGACACCACTGGCTGCAAAACATGGCATTTACAGTCTTAGGTTATTCTTTTATTACAGCTCGCACTTGCTACTTCTTCGCGGCAATTTATTTACCTTCTCTTCCTCCTTGAAACTTTACACGAATGGGTTTGTCAATGTATTTTGACAAATCAAAAATGCTTTCTTTCTTCTTTTTCTCTTTATCCTAAAAGCATAAAGACATGTGAATGCAGATAGCTTCAAAACGCTTGCATTACTCTAGTCTCTTATAGCGGGTATTCTATAATAATACACCAACAGATTATATACCATATGATAAAGCAAAATACAGGGCTAAGGTGTAAAATTACACAGATAAGAATGTTTACTTTTTATTTAATGAAAGAAAAACGATACGAACTCACCGCCATGTTAGCTACCACACCCGGAAGTACAACCTGAAAGTGCTCTCAACAAATTTACTAGCGCCCCCACTGACTAAAATGTGTTATTAGTTTAGTTGGGCTCATGCAGTAGACACTGGTTTATTCTCATTTTTGACGTTGTTTGATAAGTGTTTTTAATGGAAAAGTGCCTCACACACATACTCATGACCACCATGATTATAAGCCCCATAGTTCTAAACTGACCCTATTTCCCTGTTAGACCAAGCCAGCACCAAGCCACCAGCAGTCAGTGAGAGAAGTTATTTATACCACCAGCTGGTGTGTTGGTCTGCAGTTGCCTGAATGCAAGAGGCACTATGCAAAGGACGTGTGGAGGTACAGCTAAGAGAAAATCACTAGATTCCTCTGAGCAGATTCAATGGGAGAAAGAAGAATTAGATGATCCTGAGACTGGAGCTCTTTCCATACCTGATGTCATACTGGAAGTACAACAAGAGTGTTTTTATGTAAACCGTCAACAACTGGCCATGCAGAGCCCCTACTTCAGGGCACTGTTCTTTGGCCATGGAATTGAGAGCACCAAAAACAGAGTGGTGATTAAAGGAGTAAATCTGAATCATTTTAAAACTTTGTTAGAATACAGTAGGAGGTCCATTTTACCTCTGGACAGAGACAATGTTCTTGGGATCCTCGAAACAGCAGACTTTCTTCAACTGGAGCAGGCACGGCTACTGTGCTGTAAGTTTCTGGAACGAGAACTACACCTCAGTAACTGTCTGGGTATGATGGCCTATGCCTGGCAGCTGGGCTGCTCACAGCTGTACAGGGCAGCACGACAGGTGGCCCTGACTCACTTCTCTGCTCTCACCACTGATGTAGACTTCCTGTCTTTGTCCAAGGACTCTGTAGCAGATCTACTGGCCAGTGATGATCTTACCATTATGAAGGATGACTTGGTTCTGGATGCTACTTTACGATGGGTGTCATTTGACCCAAAAAGGGAAGAACACTTCTTGGAGCTCATTGAGCTTGTGAGGCCAGAATGTCTGTCTGTTCAGTTTATCACTGAACTGTTGAGTCACATGAAGAGCTCAGACCCCAGAGCCAAGCTAATCTGTACTCTAAATGAACACTTCCCAGCCTCCTGGTCAGTGGGTAGATCACTGCGGAGAACCAGAGGGAGAGAGACCCTCTTTGTGTTGGGTGGTCCACATGATCAGAACACACAGGCTCTCTACCAGTTTCACCCTCTGAGTGGGCGATGGCAGAGCTGTGCCCCTCTGGAGAGAAGGAACCTCACTCAGTATTCAGTGGCAGCAGTAGGTAAGATCAGTAAAGGTGTAAATGGTGGTGTGTGTGTTCCTTTGCTTCAATGGTCTTTATCTTTTTGCACAGGAGATAGTGTGATTGTCACAGGTGGATATTTCAGAGACGTGCTGTGGTTCAGTGTGGACTGGGTGCTTATTTATAACAGTTTAAACCAGCGGTGGACAGAGGGCCCAGCGCTGCAGAAATCCAGACACAGTCACTGCTCTGTAGGACTGGACCATGTGCTGTATGTGATTGGAGGCTCCATGGATGAGAGCCTGGTGAATGATGTGGAAAGACTGGTCCTTGGCTCAGAGGGATGGATGTCTGTTAGCCCAATGATCCGGGCAGTGGAGAGGGCTGCAGCTGCTGCTCTGGGCTCTAACCTCTATGTGGCCTGTGGCCTAGATGAGAATGGAGAGGCTTATGGGGGAGTCCAGAGGTATGGGGTGGAACAGAACCAATGGGATGTAGTGTCTTATTCTCCCTATCCAAGGTAAAAGATCTTTACTTTTGATACATAACAATGGTTTTGCAGTCTGATCTGAACTGAACCAACTGTTTCAGATATGACCTAGTTGCCACAGAGATGAATGGCGCCCTTTACTTATTTGGAGGCTTTGCTCTGCGCTTTGATGTGGACACAGATGAGTGGACTCTGCTGGAGGAAGACTGCCTGGAAAAGAAGTTCTTCAGTGGTTGCACCACTGTCCTGGGACAAATTTATCTTGTCAGCGAGAAGAAGGGCAACAGAGCATTTCCAAACATGGTGCTGCTGGACCCTTACATAGACACATGCACTGAAGTTGATAACAGCATACCCTGCCCTGTGCCAATCAGAGGTTGTGTCACAATGAAGGTTACTTCTTAAAATAATTCAAAATATTTATTCACAGTTTAATTTACATTCATACATGTTTTTTGTTCAATTGAAATCCAAAATACAAGAATGTCTATTGGTCATTTTATTAAATGTATTAAAATGAATACTATATTATATAGTCCGAACTATGGTATTAACTGAAGCAACAGCCATACCACAACAGCTAGGCTTTACCTTACTACTTCATCCAAAACCAAAATATTTGAATAGCCTATATCAGCCACAGCACTGAAAATAAACCTAACTGACTAACTGGAGTTCATGTCTTTTACACAATCTATAAAAAACTTTTATAATTGTTGTCTGATGTCAAGACATTTATATACACTAGAGGGTGCAGTACATTAGCTAGGCAGTGTAGACTTGACTTAAAAAAAAAAATCTCTACTGGAATTTGTCTAAATTATATTCATGTGAATTCAATTAAAACCAGCAACAATCTCCATGTTTGTATTATAATCTACAAGCTGTTTGCACATAGTAAAGTTTAAACAAATGATAAGGTGTGTCATATGCATGCACATACAGTATATACAAATATACATAATGATTTTCAGAATGGTTCATTATCTGGCTTTGGGTAGCCTGCTGATGCTCCTCTGGCTGGTAAGGTTATTCAGCACACAGTTATTGGCTAGAGACACCAGTTTAGAGTTGATTGAATCTTTGCTTTGTTCCCAGTTTGCTCCATCTCCTTCATCTTCGAGCTCTTCTTCATCTTCCCCTTCACTCTCCTCATCACTACGTTCATCTTTCTCCACCTATAAAAGAGAAAATTAAAAATACAAGAATACATGCATGCTGGTGTCTGTAGTAACAACTTAACCTCTTACCTTGCCAGCAAATGCAAATTTGTAAACCATTCGTAGGATGAGATAGGCCCAGAAGATATGTAGGGCTTGCAGAACTAACAGTAAAGCATTGAAGAAATAGTACCCAAAGAAGGGCTCAAAGAAATCCATAGACAAAACTAGAGTTGAGTAGACCACCCTGCAGAGTGAGAGTATGAAAAACTGTTGAATTTGGGCTCTTTGATGCACCAGAAGAATGCAAAAATGGAAAACAAAACTAGGAAGATCATTTAAATATTTGTACTGACCTGAAAGGGAAAACAACAAGTCTTGTGAACAGGAATACCACGGCGAACATGACAAATAATGTGTCACATATGCACGTCAATTCAGCATAGTGGAGCATTTTAGCAGACTGGATTAAAAAACACAAGTTAGACAGTTTTTTACCTTACAACTATAGTTAAAACAAGTTAAGACTAATTTAGTTAACATGGCAGTCTTCTTTGACAAGCATGCAAATATTGCATTTTTGTGGGTACATAATAGAGAGTTAATAGACTTACAGTTAAAAGATTACAGACATTTGTGCTTGGCTGGTTATTTAGAGTATTAAGGAACAGGAATTTCTTTGTAACACTGCAAAGCAATTATCGTTTTCATTTGGGGCATTCATAATGACTACATCCACCACACCTCACATGCCCTGACACGTGCTCTGATTGTATCTTTGAATTATGAAGCAGGAGCAGGGACTTTGTTATATAGACTACAACAATGAGGCTATTGTATACTGTGTACTAGCAGGCCAGAGTTATGATTTCAGAAAACAATAATAGTTTTCAGTGGATTACAGAGGATACACTTTCTCAATAATGAAAAAAACAAAACAAAACTCTTCAAAGTATGTATATATATATATATATATATATATATATATATATATATATATATATATATATATATATATGTATATATATATATATATAATTATTATTTTTTTAATCTAAGGTAGCCCTAAGGTAAAGTATTGAGCTGTATGTAGTTGTTGAACTAGTTTCACCGAGGGTGGAGTCTCACCTCCAGAAGGAAGTCAGAAGAGTCATGCACTAACATCACCAAAGTGCCCACCCTCACAAAGTTGGAACAGTATGAGAACCCAATCAGAAGTATAGTGGCAATGTGATGGATAACCTGCTCTTTGAAGTCCTGTCAAAACAAATGAATTAAAATCATCATAAAAATGCGAATTAAAATAACATATACAGTTCTACCTACTATAACCATTAGAGCGGAACATGTGATATAAAGAGGTTAATCCAGAAACCAGGCAAACCATGTGCAAATATAGACTCACTTTTCTCTTGACATCCACAGAGACGCACAGAAGCAGCGATAAATAAAATCCCAGCTCTAAGATGTAATACCAATAATGAGCATCTGACACAGGCTGCAAAAGGAAAGCAGGATGCTAAGAGTCATACATTTGAATGAGGGACGTCAAAGGTCAAATATAAGTGTTACAATTATTGTCAGAAGAAACACTGCAATTTTACTATGATTCTGAATTGGCACCATAACCAAAAATATAGCAAAATTCACTTTCATTGTCTCTTTCATTTAAACTAGAGTGTAACGGTTTATGAAATAAAATGTTTTGAATGAAAAAAATAATGTGTTACATAAAAAGCCAGTATGAGTATAAAATTAGATCGTAAAAAAAGTTACGATTACTGTCAAAATATTAAACTTGTTTGATTAGTCTGTTAATCTTGACATCCTTAAATTGAATAAACATGCAAAACAATGCAAAGTTATACACTGGACATTTTCCACCCAATGCCAGGGTTATTCCATAGGCACTATGATAGCAAATTCTCTTTATAACAGATAAATTATTTCTTAGGTTAGGTTAGGTTAAGGAAAAGGTGTTTTCTTTAAGGTTAGGGCTTTAGGACAATTTTAGGAACCAGGTCCTGGCAGAACTATATTGGGGAAATAATAAAGTCACACTAACAATATTACAGGAAGTTGGCAGTGAATATTGATGATAGCTTTTTGAAGCTATGGTCAAGATCTCACGTTCACAGCACTTGAGTTCGTGTGTAATGTGTAGTGTGTAAGGTGTGTAATGAGAGAATTTAGGACTAATGTCTCTTTTCAAGGCCATGACCGACAAAGGAATGGCTGCTTTCCCTGTTGGAATGCCGACTTGCAGGCACCCAGCTGTCATCAGATTGACTTTAGTTAAACATAAAAGCCTCTGAAACAGCATCAGAGGAGAGGAAGTATTGGACGCTGTGGGCGGAGTATATACACAACTTTCTTCCCATATAGCTACAGTCTAGACAGAAACCACAAAACTGATATGGTTCAGAATTGTGCTGTATTGTGTTTCAGTGCCATTAATAATGTCTGACAGCACATACATGGTATGTAAGGTTATACATTCTTCAGACATTTGTAGTTCAAGGATGAGCAACCAACTTCCACCATAGATTATGGGCTAAATGTGCTGTAGCAGTTTTAGATTTACAGATTAGATTAAATTAGATTAGAGAGAGTGAACTATAAATTACCCACAGACATGCAGAAATATGACTTTATGACATATTTTCCAATATTCTATTTTTGCATATGTTCAAAACGATATATATATATATATATATATATATATATATATATATATATATATCAGATATCTAGTGGAGATTACATAAGAATACGCAACTGCTCACCTGTTTAGGGTAACCTCTCCAGCATTCTCTCTGGTCCCAAAACCATGGGGCCTAAAGAGAAACGCGAGCTGGTTAGGGCACATTTGCATTTTGTGTATAATGTAATAAAAAACGGTTCTGCTCACTTTAATTAAAGAGCTGAGACCCGCAATGAATGAGACCAGGTAGAAAACAAAACGCCAACTACCCAAACAAAGAGAAAACACAAACTAAAAAAAAGATATGGTTTGGTGAAACATTAATCTGACAATTCAAAATACTTACGTGGCTTCACAGAATTTCTTTGTATTCGTGGGTCGATCCTGATTCCTTCTGTGTCTGAACCATGTCTGTATTTTTCTTTGGGATAGTCCAGATTGCTTTGATAAGTTTAATACCTCATTCTGAAAAAGTACAGTGAGCATTTTTAAACAACAGCAGAACTGTACTACTTTTCCTTCAATCTGAATCTAATTAATTATTTGTGTGAGGGCTGTCTACCTTGCAGTTTCATAGTACTTCCCACCTAGTAATAGGGCTGCAACAAACAATTATTTTAGTAGTCGGCAAGTCAGTGATTATTTATGGATCAGTCGACTAGTCAAAATATTATTTCTATTGTAAATTTAGATTTTCAACCACATTTTAAATTAAATAAATATGGATTACCGACTGAAGACTTCTAAACAGACATTATTTACCAATAAGTCAACTATAGATGAAAATCATAAACTGTGTTTTCTGTTTGGAAATTTTGAATCAATAATTCCACTGTTTTTATAATAAAACGATCTTTTTGTATGTGTTTTACACATAATGTTATGTGTTTTACACATAACAATATGAATAAACTGAAAAGAAAACAGAGACACAGGTGTAAACGGTAGACAGTAGTTAAACACATCGTGACTTGAGAGGATTCAGGTCCTGACAGGTCAAAGGCTCAGTATGTTCACACAGGTGAACTACAGCAAGAAGAGCGTTGAGTAACTGTGGGAATCACCTGTAACTGCCCTGTCTGCACTTGAACCTCACACAGGGAAAGGCAGCTTTAATTATGCATGGGTTGCAGCTTGTTGTTATCTGTGACATTCTGAGGACTTTTTTAAAATTGATTTTAACCTTTTCTTTTTTTGTCTTTTTCAGGGCAGGTTATGTATCTCTAAAATAACGTGTAAAATAATGTGTAATCTGGACTAATGGGAGATTTTTTGTATGTATAATAATTTCCTGTATGAATCATTTTAATATTTAGGCATTATGTTATAACTTCATAAACAACTTGATTTTAGACTAATGCTGTAGACATACAGATATATACATGAATACAGCTGTGTGGATATCACAATATCAAATATATTTTTATGTTCACGATTATTGTGAGACATCAACAAAACATCACAAGTGGTTTTACACTTATTCATGATGAACATTCCAATTGTCCAATTATCATTCCTCTGGTGTCTGATTAGCTTTATAGATTCAAACTTTCTGAATGACATAAGAGATGCTGCTGTGATATAAACAGACAAATAAAACAGGTTGTTTTAATTAACTTTTTTGGTCTATAATTTGCATTAAAATGACTTAGTTATGCTTCTAACATTATAACAATGATTATTTGTTTGTTTTTATGCTCATATAAATTAATTATTAATCAATCAAATAACAGTGACATCCATACACAGCAATAAAAATAAAGAAAGCACTAACTTGTGATGGTTGCCGACTGTTGTGTTTGTAGTACGCCTCCAGCTTTGGTTGAGAGAAGGCTCGAATTCGAACCCGGTCCTTCACACCTAAGAGCCTGCTTAACGGAACTGCAACTACCCTGAAAGACACAAACACGCAATTGGCCTATAGGGTTAACCTGGGCTATATCAATAATAAATTACATCATAAAACAGCTGTCAAAGGTGAGTCGGGGTATTCACCTAAACACAAACAGTCTCATGGGTCTTTGGTGACAGACAGCTTTGGTGTTAGATGACCAAGGGGAACCTGATCTATCTATGTGTTATTGTGATAGGGAGACAGACGGAGCACAGAGACGCAGTAGTGATAAATGAGTGGACAACACATGCACGCCGCCATGTGCAACTCAATCTCGCAGATAATCAAGCCAAAGTGGGCAGGCATCTCAAGCAATGGGACATTACAGTCATGACCCAGAGAGGTGGTGTCAGGTTACAAGGTGGAGCAAGCAGCACTATGGGATCATCACAGGACACAGCTGCCTGCTGTTTGACACGACACAAGTAAATAATACGTTCAAGTTCATTTACCTACGGCTACAATAACAACAACAAAACCAGGAAGGACCTTGAAAAACACCTGCTACTACGTCTACAGAAGCAACAGGTTACAAAAGTACATGTATTGTGTTGCAAAACAAAACCTGCTATCTGGTCATCAGTTACTGGTTTAATAACAACATTAAATAAATAAGATAAATATCTTAGCATACAAGTCTAATATAAAGAAAGTTAACCTGTGCTCTATGGCTAATGATTATTTTCATAACATACTTGAATTACAGTTGTTGGCCCATATCCAAAAAAAACTTTATGGGATGGTTTTACAAGTTTGTAGGTCAAGATACAAATGTTAATACTATTTGGTTGCATTATTGTCATAAGTTAGATAATATTTAACACATAATATCTTAAGGAATTTTACTGCAAACAGCATATTCAGAAATAAGTATTGTTTTATGTGTGTTAGAGTGCATACATGCATGTAATGTTAATTTATTTACAAAACATAACATAGGTTATTGAGCTTTGGTTCTCAACTATGCATTCAGAAAGCTGAATAAGCTCCTCACTTTATGTTGTCACATCACAGACTGTAAAAAAAGTGGACTAAAGCAGCGTGGCATCACCCGGAGCGTTCAGCTCCAGTCAAATGAAGCTTACAAGGCTAGCGGTTATAAAGGCAAATTTGGAGCCAGTTCCAAGTAAACAAAATAGCTAAATAAAAACACCAGGTTTAGGTTAATACAAACATGTTAAAACTAAAATGACAAGGCTCAAAACAGGAGTTACAGAGAGAGAAGGGTGACAATTTTCCAATATAACGTCCATTAGAAACCCCCCATGTGTAAAATATTGCAACTAAAACCAGTTTACAACAATTCCAATTCACTCTGTGTGATGACGGCTCACCAGTTAATGGTATCCATCCCTATCCTCAGTTGTGGTAAATGGTAAATGGTCACATTTTTCTATAGCGCTTTTCCACCTTCAAGGCACTCAAAGCGCTTTACAACAAGGAACCACTCACCCATTCACACACACATTCACACACCAGTGTACGCAGACACTGTGGGCAAGGTGGGTTAAGTGTCTTGCTCAAGGACACAACGACAGCATTCATCTGTGGGAGCTGGAATCACACCAGCCAACCTGTGGGTCAGTGGATCTGACTGCTCAACCTGTGATGTTTTTTTTTTATGTTGAGAGCTGGATTCGAACCGCCAACCTTTGTGCTTGTATTAACATTATTAACACACTAGATTAAAATATTAAAGAGAATATTCTAATATTATGGTATATAAAAAAAAATAAAAGGTAATTGTGCTCCATGTTTCAAAGCATCAAAACCAATCATATATATAAGGCATGAGGAGTCAGTGTGCTGTGTTTGCCAGTCCTAAGGTAACTGCACACAGTAACAGGTAACAGGTAACAGGTAACTGCACACAAAGAGATACGATTTTCTAATAGTTGTTACATACAAGGAAGGAAGACTCTGACTAGTGTCGTAACAAGCAGGAGTTAAAAATGTAGACGGAACCATAGTCATAAAGAAAAACTGTTAAAATTAATATTTGTTATATCTGTCATCATTAGCTTTGTGTTGAAGGCTGTCTGCTCTCACCTCTCAAAGACATATCTGCAGGCGATGAAGGCAAGTGCCAAAGGAACAGTGTAGGTAAGGTCCCGCGGTTGAGGTAACTGCCCCTGCTCCAGGTCCATGTCCAGGTCCTCCCAGCGTGTCCCCGGAGGAAGCCAGAGCTCAGACCGCCAAATCCACTCATTCAACACAGCCTCCATCCTGTGGGAGACTACACAGCCTATAATAACACAAAAGCAATAGTTTAGTCTAGCTACAAATAAAAAAGTACTACATTCAAGAAATAATAATCTCAGCAATAATATTAACACTTTTTATGCTATTCTCAGTGCTCTAAAGAGAATTCCCATAGAATTGCAATAGATAAAGTTAAAACAAGATAAAAAACTGTTGAATGGGGATGGTTCTTTCTAAAGTGAGCAGAAAATAATAATATATAAGAAAACAATAATACATTTTTTAAAATATTTTTTAATTTAACAGGGAGGGCCTTAGGATTATGTGGCCAAATCTGCAGAAAATCAATAAGCAGTCAAGCGGCAACATTCTAGACATATTATACAACTGAAATGACTCAAGTAGACTGGATAATGACACTGCATAATTGTCATCTGTTGTCATTGTCATTGTAATCTGTTAATCAGTTCCTGCTTTACGTGCAACAAAAGCAAGACACATATCACAAAACTATTTGATGGCACAGTCAGTTAAGGCGGAGCCCTGAAATCAGTAAACAACACAGGTGTCAAAACAATTATGAATGAGTTCTGCTTTAAATTAATAATACGTGTGAAAAGGTTTGTTTCATTTAGACCTACACACTGCTAGAAAGGGACATTACTTTGGAGTTTTCTCTGTTAAGAAATCCATAAATGAGCAACACCAAATTACGTTTCTAGTCCTGGATTTTAAAGCAACATTTTAGTAACTGACAAGCCTAAATCCGCCGTAACTGTAGTGGGACGCACTCACACGCACATGCACTCGTCATTTTCGCACCAACGCCATCACAGACTTTGACAGAAAAGTACACATAGGATGCTTTAGAATGGTATTAAAGAGGTGATATAAGAGGTTATAACTCACAAATCCTGATCCTGATCTGATACAGTCAGCGTCACGAACCCCTTACGCAAAACAGCCCAGTGAGTCCAGGACGATATAATCCCAAAACTCTTAACAGTCCATCTCGTCCCAGAAAATAATACAACAGTAGGGCTAAGCAAGTACCTGTCCGTGCTCCTGTGATGAGGAGGAGAGGGGCACAGCAGCAGATGAGAGGACTCACACATGCGCTACAGAAGTGGGCGTGGTCGCGGCTGGAACAGGCAGCAAAGACAAAAAGTGCAGGGTGCAGAGTCGGGTCAGGACAAGGGGCAACCGGGAGAGAGGTCAGCTTTTTATTTCAAAGTGTAAGGGCTAGTAGCAGAAATAACGAAGGTATTTTTCATGAATGCACATAGTTTCTTACTGTTAAATCGCATTTTATCCCAGAAGACTATATCATAAATTTAGGCTAAATAATATACAGGACTAAAAAGTCTATGGTTTAATATAAAGACGTGCTGTAATATTTAAAGATCTACAAAGTAGTAGAAGTAACAGTAGCAGTTATAAAGTTGTAAACCTTCAGTGAAGCCCATCCTTGATTTGTTAATAGGCCTAATTGTTGGCAGCAGCAAATAGCCTGCTATTAATATATCTCTACAGTACAGTAAATGATTGCAGCTTCCTGAAAAGCAAGAAAACACCTATCAATAAATATAGCAGACAGCATAATTATAGTTTGTAAAAGTTAGAGTGGCTTACGCGTTTCCTGACCTATCGAGTGTGAGGTGACCACACTGTTTTAATATTGCATAACACAGAAACAAGCTTTTGTGTCAGACATATAGTGTGTCAATCAGCAGCTACAAAAGCCGATAAGATTTGCGGCAGTCACATGATGATGCTGCTTTTCATACCATATCCACCTACAGGAAGCATACAGGACACTGGCAGGCAGAGAAAATTCCACACCAGGGCTGTTTACATAGATTAGATAAACTTTCCCTTTTCCTTTTGCAAGAGGATGTTTTTAAAAATATTATAAAATACAGAATTGTACATTTCCATCTATAGTGGCCCAGAAGAGTACACTGATCTATATCTACACATAACACACATTACTCATGTCATGTGACTTGTGGAGGAGTGGAGCAGATGCAGGTGTCAAGTTTGGGGCAGCTCTTATCTTTACAACTACAAATAATTATTATGGCACCTGGTCTGTACATTGTGACAAGGGGAACATGCACAAGACTTTTACCCAACTTTTACTTTAGGCTACTTAATTTATTTATTTATTTTTCCCTCTGTTGGGATCAATAGACCTAATTAAGCCATGTAGAATTTTGTAATTTTAACTTCTTTCATTTTTGAAAGGTGTTGAAAACTGAAGTAAGTGCTATAGTTACATCTGAACAGTTTTTAATACTGTTTTGTCAATCCAGGTGTCAATTTGTTGGGTGCAACTGTCTGTACCCAAGATAATTCTTATAATGAGTGGAACATGTGGCTCAGTAAATGTGTGCATGAGTTCATTTCTTCATTTGCAGTTACACTAACGCATGCTCAATACCTCTGATACTGTCTCTGATAATCTCATTCTATTTAATATGTAACTTTTGTTGTTTATGACCCTGTTCCTGAGAAATCTGATTCCTCTGAGCTATCTCTCTCGATATTTTTATTGACCTTTTAAAAATTTTAATAATAAGTAATAGTTATACATTTGGGGTTTAGCAGTCAAATCTTGAGAATTAGCAACCTCCACTACTTGATGATGAATTGATTGCATGCTATTGTTGTGTCCTTGAGCAAGACAAGTCTACTGTATCTTCTACTTTTTAAATAAGAACATATAAAATAGATAGGCATAGTCTGTAGAGTATAGAGCAAAGTGTCCAAAGTATGGCCAGGGGACCAAATATGACCCTCAGACCAATTTTTGTTGGCCCTCATGGATCTTGCTGAATTGGCCCAAATGACCAGTACCCGGGAGGCCCAGGACACGCTGGAGGGACTATGTCTCTCGGCTGGCCTGGGAACGCCTCGGGGTCCTCCCGGAGGAGCTGGAGGACGTGTCTGGGGTGAAGGAAGTCTGGGAGTCCCTGCTTAGGCTGCTGCCCCCGCGATCCGGCCCCGGATAAGCGGACGAAAATGGATGGATGGATGGACCAGTACTTTTTACAGCAAATTTACATTTCTGTCTCTGTATTATCTTATTGCATTGTGATACAGACCCAAATTAGACCTGGAATTAATGTTCAAAGACTTTTTGGATACCCCTGGTCTAGTGTTGCCACTTAATTTATGTTGGTGCAGTATTTCTCGTTAGCGCATAGAGGCAGATCTTGTGTCTCTGGTCCGCTTTGTCTAACATCCGTATGGCATTAATGCGCCCTGACAGCCTCTATCATCCACCGTACCTAGTGCCAGGTGTCAGCTCCACCAACACAACGAGGCTCAGACCGACTGTTCCGTTTAGATGTGCGTATGAGTGAAAGGTTTTCATTCTGCACTCTTCTCTTTTATTCTCTCCTATTTCATGTCTCTTTTTCTTTTTAAATTTTATGATGATTATTTATGTTTTGATTTGTTTGTAGTGTGATTTTAGTTTATGTCTTATCCTGTATTTTAGCGTTTTGAATTACTTTGTGTACGAATTGTGCTATACAAAAAATCTTGCCTTGCCCCTCTTCTGGGCTCATTGGAGACCCGCCAGAGTACGTCCCCTTCTTCCGTGTTGCTTTTGTCTTGGGATAAGTGGCCTCATAGTATTGTACCCTCTCTAAGATCTAAATATAATGGAGTAAATAGTTGGATTGTAAAACAGGGAAAATCACAAAATGATTCCAGAAAGTTGTTGCCAATTATAACTTCTTGCACTTAAAAACACGCTTCCCACCAGCAGAGGGCAGTAGATATTGCAGCATTACCATAGAGAGGTCAGTGTGTTTGTAAAGGAGGCCACGGACTAATTTGGTACAAGCTGAAAATGAGTTCAAGTCTGTGGTTATAATTTTGATAAGGCTGTTTGAATAGATAATGAACAAACCTGCTGCAAATCACTTCTCGGCCTAACAATCACACATCCTGAAGTGGAGGTCGGCATATTTCACGTTCTGGCCTTGTATTTTTCAAAAGCTAAAATCACACATTTTCAATAGGTAGAGGGCATTCATTACTTATTATTTGCAGATGTGCTGTTTAATTTGGATAAAACTCGTCATTATTCTGGTATCTGGATAAAACTCAAATAGCATAAAGGTAATAAACTACACTATAAAAAGTCTAGAGAAGCAATTAATGGTCTGTGCAATTACAATCTTAAGTGAACTAAACTAAGTGTGCAAATGCAAGTGTAGAAAAAAACCCAATTCAACAACCAACTGCAAAAAGTAAACTATATATTTAGTAATATATACATTTAGGAGAAAAAGTTAAAGGGGCACTATACAACTTTCATGATGGGGTGGAGGGTGCCACCTGCTTATCTCCATAGAGTTATTCCTTTGCCTGATATGTTCCATGATATACACTTGTCTGTCTGTAGACAAGAATATGCCACATTCACGTCCAGTTACTGGTCAGATCTGTGGAGAGACAATACAGCTCATAGTAAGAATATGTGTTTAACAGGTAATGCAAATATCTAATATCTGAATCTGAATATATTCAAAAGGTGTACAAAATTCAAAGCAAAGCAATAAAATTTCCATGGAGACAAGCAGGACTGACCCTCCACCTAAAAACCTATTGCACCTTTAAGTTTGAATGTGAATCTGAATCATCTGGACCTTATGTGAAAAACAAAAAAACAAACAAACAAACAAAAAAAAGACAATACAAAGATATAACGGAATTGGTACGCTATCTCCTCAATAATTTATAATGATATCCATGAGCTGCCAGGAGAAATGTAAGGTCGAAAGGTTACGATATAAATAACAGAACAATTTCCTTTACATAATTTATAACATTCAATACAGACCAACTCTTTTTCACCTCTGTCTCTTTCATCATGTCATGTTTCTTTCATCATGTTTCTGGTCTTGCTCTCCTACAGGCTTGAACATGCACCTTCTCATTGTCTTCCAGTGACATCAGACAATTACTCAACACTCCACATCTTCTACCATCATCTCTCTAATCATTGTCATTAGCCCTGCTCCATTAGCGTTCTCCGGCTGCATCATATCTGGCCTCCTCCCTCTCCAGACATGAGACAAGAGAAAATGTGAGGATAACCTAGCACACTGCGTCTGGTGGGGTGCGTACATAATTTTGGACTCTAGTTTGGCTGTTGCTTGTTAGCTCACATCCTCAGAGAATAAACTGTGAAAATGTTTAGTGGTTGATTGAAAGGTCTGGAGATTCCTTGTGTTAACAGTCACCATATGCATATTGTATTTATGATCACCAGCTGTGGTTTTAGTTTCCATTGTTCATGTATTTTCCTGTTGAAATACCTGATCTTGTACTTTACTTATGGCTCCCAGGTTTATTCGTAGTAATAAATCTATAACTTTGTGGAGATGTAGGTGTTGGCTGGAATGAATTTGCTGTGTGACACAAAACATGCTTTAAAATTGGCCTGTGCACTTAGTCTGCTGAAGTATAACATGCTGAAGGTTTTCCATACATGACTTTGACTTCTTGTGGTAAAACGCAATGTCTGTGTTGAGATCTTGTGTTTACGCATCAGTACAGATTTGAACACTTTAAAACTCCACATCCTTGAGAAGAATTTGAAAAGTGCCAAATTTTGCCACACGAATCTAAACAGATGACAAAAGAATTGACCACCATCTCCATGAGTGAAATCTCTTGCATAATTTGGTAAAATGCAGTTATATTAGATACCTCACTCACTCTGCATTGCATTAAAGGTGCACTGTGTAACCTTTTTGGTGCAGGATCTGCTACCTACTTGTCTCCTTGGAGATGTTATTGCTTTGCCTGGATTGTTCCAAGGTATGACATTAAACATATACATCAAGCATATATACATTACAGGTGTTTCTATTGCTTGTCCACTTTGTGATAGGTAGACATGACATTATTCTTTCTGGAATTGTCCTGTTTTGCCAATATTTTACATAAATTTTGTTCAAACTGAGTTTCAAATGTCTCTAACCCTAGGTTTTCTGTGTTGTACAGTGCTCCCCTCATCCTGTACTCTAACTTTCCCGGTTCTTCCAGATTCCAGACTCCATCTGTCTGTGTGGAACCTGGCTGATCCTGGTCAGGAATTTGCCCTATATCACTGGTGCTGGGGCCCGGGGCAGTAAATCACATGACCAGTATGTGGGAATGGCCATAATGAAGATGGACGGGCTGCTGTTAGAACTGACAGTGGGAGCTGCATTCCTAAAACCATGCTTCCACCATTACAGAAATCACAATAGCCAAACTTCAACATGTATGTTTGACTTCAGCGCAATAAAATAAGCCAAAAGAGGTGTCATAGGTGCTAGCTTATTTGGACTGGTGGGGGTTGTAGAAATATAACCATTGCAATAGTACTATTATTGTATGAGCACAAGAGATTTTGTAGTAGTAGCGAGTTATAAAAACATTCTTTACCCTTTTACTTCAATTACATTATTTTGAGATAACAGTACGTATTTCAATAAAGAGTTTAGTACTTGATTACTATAATATTTTTTTTTATAAAATACTTGTATACTTATCTTAAAGCTCTCTGTGCAGAAGATATATAAAGCTGAAAAAAGACTTGAATACAAATGCAGGAAGACCACACACAAGTATCACCTCAACTTTTCCTTTTCCAAGTTTTAGGAAATCACTTCATCCTGATTGGACTGTTGTTTATAACAGAGTATTACAGCTCCTTTAAGTCCTATAGTGTGTGTGCATCAAGTATTTACTGAACCACAAGAATGATGAAGTGGCAGCTCCACAACCTGAAGTCTCTGGGGTTCAATGAGTCTATCAGCCTCTCCTAAACACCCACTCCCATGTTGGGTTTCCATGCTTTTTGGGATATTACATTGACTTGCATGAATTTCTTGTAGACTAACCCTATTCTTAACTGTAATTATTACCTGCCTTTCCCAAACCCAAACCATCACCTATTTCAACTTATAACTTAACTTGAAACCATGTCATTGATCTAATATTGGAAGATTTATATCAAGTTTCTGTCCCCATAAGGGAGGCAAATACCCATGAATGTGTGTATAGAGAGTTTTGTCCCCACAGTGTATCAAATATGCGCCCGTACTCAAACACACACAAATATTGACTCTTGCAGGTCTAAGGTGTCGCCCTGGAGTTGGGCTGGCAGTGCAAACAGCTGGGCTGCTGTAGCACAGCCTTTAATCCTGAAGCAGCCCCCACCCCAAACCCTCCATATGGGGGGGGCTGCCACTTCAAAGACCTGAGGGGGAGCTAAGGTAGGTAGACAAACTATATTATTATACAACTCAGAATGTAGATCTGGAAAGTAACAATATACTTTTACTTTTTAACATATTCCTGTTATGTCATGTTTTGGACCTTATCTAATTCATAATAGTGCATCTTTAGAATATCTAGTTTTTTCCCTCACCCTGCGATCATTAGAAAGGGAAATTATTTTGATTTTATTAGCACTTAGTGGGAATCTTTTAAATGGTGGCTTTATACTATATATATATTATACTGTTAAGTGTTAGAAGCCAGACCACTTCCCACAACATTGTGGTTTTTAGTTTCTTAGTTTTAAAAATGGTTTAATACGTTTACTTTTTTTGTACGCTTCTTGCACAAGCAACAGGTGACATGCTATTAAAATGTTACTATAGTATACTCTTTTGTGAAACCATATAGAGACCCTGTGTCTCCACATGCAAAGACAGCTCTGACCTAGATTTCAATTAAATTAGTGGAAAATATTGTCTATGCTTCGAGGAGGATGTGAAGGAGACAGATATGAGGTGATGCGCTGTAGCAAACACAGCTGGTCCACTGCACATCTCCAGGTCTGACCTTGAGAGACACTGAGGTAATAGTGACCAGGGCTGTAATGGTGTGTCCGACCCATTGTATGCATTAGCGAATAGTGTGAAAATAGACTCAGGACTTCCTCAGATCTTTCTCTTGTCACTTTTGAGAGCTCTTTAATCTGAGATCCTCCCTGCTTTGTGTTTGTGTCTTTTGGTTTGTGTAAAAAGGCTTGGGTGGTCCTTTGATACTTGGCTTTAATAGGCTCCGAACATATGCACTACTTGCCAGAATAGAGCTGTGACTCTAAACAAATGTGGCACTGAGAAAACACGCTATTTGTGTTCATGAAGGAACATGAAATTCACAGCAGTCCCCAGGGACTGTGGAGAACATCAAAAGTCAAGACAATTAACTTCCGCCCTGGCACAAGACTTCACAATTACCAATGTAAAAACAATTACCGAATATGTTCCATGAAACTAAAGTGTGACTAAATTATTCACACGAATGCAAAACATAATCATAATGATTTGCATTTAGTCTATACTAATTAAGATAATATGAGTTAATTTTCTGTATTTTCTTAAAACAACATTCCTAGAAACAGTACATCAACTCTCCACTATAGTCTGGTTATTTAATCTGGATAATTGTATATCTTGTATTTGGTATTTGTCACTTTCAGATGTTATTACATATTCAGAGCAAATGAAGTGGTCCAGATTCATACAAACACACTTAGATGGCATACTTTATCTTTATTTTTCAACAGTACAGTAATTATAGTAATTTGCTTCCATCTCTTTTACAGGAAGGCCACTCATTCAAGGTGAAAACAGCTGCTTTCAAGGAAAAACCAAAAAGTGACAACATAGTCAGGTAAAATACTATTGTGTTTCCAAGCCCTATAATGATGACAGAGCAGTACAACAAACTAAGTGTACCTCAGATTTACTACAGTCCTACACAACTGTAAATTAACTTAGTGAGATGATTTCACACAGATATTCAAACACAAAGAGTACTTCTCATGTTTCCTGACCGTTAAACTACTTCATGACTTTAACAGATATTTTCACCTGTTCGTTGAAAGTGTTACTGGACTATGAGGCAATGTTCTCAGGGGGTTTGGTTAAAGACAGGAAATTAGTCATTGGGCTGTAAACGATGGGTACAGGGCAAAGCTCAGAAAGTTAAATAGCGGTACATCATCATAATATTGTGAAATGTTTGAAACACTTTGGCCAACCGCAGGTTACCCACATTGTGTTCCACTATGAAGTTAACATTAACGATATGTCTGGAAAACAACAAAAGCAAATATGTCATGTGTTTTGGTTTGGTTACCTCTTTAACACAGCATATAAACATACTTAACATGTAGAAATTATAGCTCAGTCAAATGGCCTTGACAGTTTATGGCAAACTTAAGTGCAAAGTTTTAACAGAGAGGAAATGAAACATCAACATTGTAATATATTTAGGTTCTTTAAATAAAATAAGCTAAACCTATTTCCTCTGGGTTGACTCCTTCACAGGGGGTTTGGGCTACATTTCTTCACCTTTGACTTTTCTACTTAAAGCCACACCTCTCTTTTAGACAAAGGCAGACTTACAGTAGAAACAGCTCTAATACTGCCGCACTAATCATTAAATATCTCCATAAATGTCTATAGTTAAAGTTAATATATCTTTCAAATAGTATCCAAACCATGTCTCCCACTTTTCCAAAGGTGTAAAACAAATTTTTTTTTTAAAAACACACTGTGAATGTACACACACTTTACTAAAAGATAACTTGACTCATGACTTGCATCTTACTTACAATCAACTATCCAAAACTAAAACTTTAAACATTTGTGTTGACATATTTTATGGGAACCATATTGTGCTGCTCCTGGTTGTGAGCTGTGGGCTTAACAGTTTTAGGGAGGAATGACCTCACCTCGGCTCCCCCAAGGTTTGAACAGGAAATAGAGAGTGCCGCTGCACCCCCACCCCGCTACGTTCTCCAGAAGAGAAAACATCAGTGTGGAGCAGAGGTATGCCGCCCAAATGTCCACATCATCCAAACTCCCAGACGCACTGCATGTATTTGTATATTTCACTTCAAAACATGATTATCCCCCACACAAGCAAACATGAGATCAACCTTTTCGGCCCCATTTCTGTTGCGGATTTTGAGCCTGATTTTCCTCCTTATTTTCAGCGGGAATTCCTGACGTATTTTGGATTCCTTTGAGAGGGAATGTTTTATGCTTCTTTTAAAATACAAAGGACTTTCACATCTGAAAGCCATTATCCCCTCGCACTGTTCGAAAGCAGGATTCTTTCCACTCTCTTGGCATCATGCTGCAATCTTTTGTTTGACTTTTTTCCATTTCTTTCTATTCTCCAGTCTCTTGTCATTTGCAGTTACAAGGAATCTCAAGTCTCTCCCATCCAGAAAGTCAACAAAAGAAGGCTAAGCTTGAACTCCAGTGTCAAACTCACTATTCTGTCCACACTGTATGTTTTAACAGTCATTTATCCATGGCTGGGTTAAAGTATGCTGTACCTTTTGGGAGTAACATCGTGGGCAATCACCCACCTCTTCCTCTAGTGCTTCCTACAAAAACAGCAGAAGGCATCCCTCCTCATCTCCACTAAACAGACCAATATGTTTGTGCACTGTTTTATGAGATCACATATTTCGATTCTCTGAACACGGTCATTCGTTGTCTCCGCTTGTGAAGTACTTTGAAGTAGTACATTCCTCTGGTACTGCATCACTGCACAGCTGTGAAGAGGCAGGTTGTTATAGTGAGTACAGCTGAGTGGCATTCTGGGTAGGATGAGGCAAAGCATACCTGTACAGAGTGATTCCACAATGGTAAGAAGTAAAATCACAATTTCATTTCATTGTACAAACGGACTACATGATTCTCTACAAGGTTCATCATTTACTAAAAACTGAGCCACAAAGCATGTCATAAAATAATAGTCTTTATTTTGACAACTACTACTATTACTACTACTACTTCATTACTTACTTACTTACGCTACCATCATTGCTATAATTACTCTATTATGGTCTCTAGTTCTATTCTTATCCCAAATGTATTTGCTCAGACATAGGATTTGTTTATATTGGCCAGCAGTTTTCTTGATGTACTGTAAAAGCAGATATTTTGGCTGTTGTATATGACCTGGATATATTTTCTCCTTCGTGATTGCCTTGATTTGAAAGCAATCAGCAATGACCCTATCTTGCTCAGAACTGATTGTCATTAACTTCCAATGCTGCCAATTCAAACATGTGCTGTATGGTCTTATGCTCATGTCATACTTTTTCTTGCTTTGTTAAATGCATTCTCACAGCTCACACTGGGTTGTATTTTACTATTGCCAAAAAAAATCACATACAGTCGCATGTAGAAACTACTACTACTTTCACTTCAGCCCTGAGGCAAGGAATTTTAGTGCACTACATTCTCATAAAAGAGCAAGCGTCTTGCAACATTGTCGGGTTACACGCTTGTAATAATATTTATGCTGTAACCAATGTCGTCTGGGGCTTTTGTGACCTGTATGTGCACTGGATCACCCCAGTGGGCAGAAGTACAGTATGACTAATTCTGGCACTCCGTCTTTTCTTCGCTCACAGTGTCATGGAAGTGATTTAGAAATACAGCGATCTCCTGGATGGGTTGGACATGTTCTTAGAGCTCTCATAAGCTCTGGTGGTCTCCCCTGGTTTGATGTTTCAGCATAAACTGGGCTGCATGTCAAGAATGCATCCAAAAAGTCAAAATTTGAGCTTTTCTTTGGTTTGCTCAACCATGTTGCAAGGAAACTGATTTGAAACAATGATCCTGGAGACTTTGATTTGAAAAGTGTTTGTCAATGAATGTTGTGCATTTAGACCATCCATTATGACAGTTGTATTTAATCCAGATTCTCAACTTTAATTTCAAATGTGTAGAGGTGGTACTACGCCTGGAGACTAGACTTGTCTGGACAATGTGAAACAAATGGCTTTTCTTTGTGACAGTCACTAAACTGTCACAAGCCTCAAATAAACACCTCTTTCTTGTGCTGAAAAATAACATTTGACTCAGCACAATAGATCTTTTTCACTCTTGAGTCATCAGTATGTGGGATGGAAAGACAGCAGAAAGACAATTAATGGAAACTAATCATAGTATGTAGTATCCCTGTGGATTTCACTGCTGTTACTTATTGTTTAGGCAAGGTTAATGAACTAATAGTAGAATGTGGTCACAGTTGTCCTTTTTGGTGGTGGCTTAAGTTAAGTTTATTCCTAATGTAAAATGTAGATTTGGTCATTTTCTAATCCTGATTTAATCTGGGTCTATTCCAAATTTAGTCCCAGGATTATACATATACCTGATGAGGGGTTTTGTTTTGCTGTTATTTTGATGCACCGTTTGTGTAAGTGTGAATGCACCCATAGAGTTTAGTATGCTTACTTTCGCCCTTGAGAAAGACCCAATAGCTCCAGTAAAGATCCTACAGCAAACTGCATGTTCCCCATTAGAACCAAATGCCATGTTCAACAGCATGAAGCCATCATGTGTTTTCGATGTGAGGCGAAGTCTGTCTGGGGCTACACAAAAATGTAGCCATGCTCAAATCTGATTGAATGGGAATGCTCATGCTTACTATTGTTTAAACATATGTGGCTTTGTTACAGAGAGAGACTCATATCTCTTAAGTTTCATAGATAATAATATACACTAGTGTCTTTCTTTATTGCTAATACATCTTAGTCATTCCATGGGAGGAAACTACAAATACCCATAGAGGGGGGAGGAAAAACTCCATGCAGACTTACAAGTTTAGGATAGAACCTTGACTACTTGACCTTGGTGAGAGCACTGCAACCATGCAGAGTTTAATAACCGAATATTGCTCACTAAATATGTCAATGCAGATGCAAAAACACAATTCTTAAACATGAATTTAATGTAAGAAGCCACAAGGAAATGTCCCCCACTTCTACTGTGTACTAAGTATTTATGACTCTGTGAAAGCCTGGAGTTAGTAGTCTTTCACTAAGATTATGGACTGAGTAGAGAGATGGGCAGTTAGCTGTGCACTTTTCACTTTCTAAAGAGTCTGTATTTAGATAGAATTGGACTGACTTCACAACGGAACTACAGCAACTCACTAGACTTTAACACTAGTCACCTGTTAATGTTTTGACTAGTAAACTACTTTTCCTGAGACTAAATTGGGTATTTTTGGGGCACGTCAGGTGTTTTTGCAGAAGGTGCTGGAATCACAGTGGGCAGTAGAATCTGAGGTGTACACAGCTGTCTTCACCCATATACCACCCATGCAGCAGCCAAGGTGACTTCCTATCAGCAACAAAACACAAGGACCTGTCACTCACAAATGACAGTTTAGCCAGAGTAGAAGAGTAATAATGTATTTTTTACCTTAAAGATGAATTGTGTAAAGTTTCTGGTGGAGGGTCTGTCAAATGCTTTTCTCCATGGAGGTGTTATTGCTCTATCTGGAAAAATTTACAGTATGATATTAAACAGGTCAGATTTGCGCTGAGACAACTCCTCTCACAGTCATAATGCCTGTTTTCTAGGTATTTTTGAGATGTAAAACCACCTGTAATTGAATAAATGTAAAGTTGAGATGTTTCATGTCATACTGGTGAACATTCCAGGTAGAGCTATGACATACAAGCAGGTGACAGACCCTCCATGAGAAAAGTTACACAATGCACCTTTAACTTAATTGTTCACCATCACTAGCTCTGCAAAATGATTTACATTTTTATTGGAATCAAGTGTGAATCGTGATTAGTTCTTCACCTTCTCAATGGACACTGTATTCATCTATTGTAGGCATCTTCTCGCAGTCTGGTGCTAATTTCTTCAATAAGCCTTGGCTTTGTGGCTCTTATCAGATCAGCGGGTTGCCAACAAGAGGCTGGGTTGCGGACCGATGCGAGACCCTGCGTGAAGGAGCCCGGTGCGTGGCCTCTGCACGCACAACTTGAAGAGCCTTGAGGAATGTGGGTTTGTCCTGCAGTCCGTTACTACCCCCTCTCTTCCACTCGCAGCCTGTCTCTCCGCGTGTCCCCTCCCCTCTCCCTCAAACAGGACAATTCCCCAAGTTTTCTCTTTTTCTCGCAAGGCTATAGTTCAATATTCCATTGTGGGGCACGTATCCTGTCTTCGATTCCCTTTGAAGGCTCCTAGACGCAGAGGGACTCCAACTGCTGCGAGGTAATGCACGCTCTCTTTACTCATCATTGGCTTTGATAGTGGCTTTAGTTTCGCGTAACATTGCTTTTTTAAGTGCAGTTTGTGTGAGAGTGGTTGTGTGATGGAAATAGAAAACGAACCATCGCTCAACTGAAGTTTACTGTAACTTTGTATCTTTGGCTCATGGTCGTTAACTTTGATCAAGTTTTACGGTTTACACCTCGATCCAAGTTGAACTATTTTTGTAGTGTAAACTTTCCCGAAATAAAACATGAAGCTGAGCAGTGAGTGTTAAGGGAGCAATAGCTGATGCAGCGCTTTTCTCCATTCATAAAGTTGTGGTGACATGCTGTAATGTGCTAATTGTACAAAAATATGCGCTTGTGCTAAGTTACAGATAACGGTTTCAGGTCACGTTTCATCTTTGATTTTTTGCAGACGCAGAGATGTCTTCTGGCCCTCTGCCTCATACAAGTCGCGAAACGTTTTTGTCTAATGTAATATGTCTTTGATTGAGTTTAGGAGTTAAGTTTGCAAAAAGGTGTACTACTAATCCAAATCTGTAACAGGCTTTTATGCACAGGACTTTTTTTTTTAATGGTCGACTTAGTCCACTTCTTTATTGTTTTTCTTTTGTTTTTTTTCACTCATTTGTGACCTTCAATACCATAAGCAATAATAACCCACAGTATTTAGCGTCTCTTTCTTGTTTTATCAGTCTGTAGATACGTTTTTGACAGCGCTACTTTCCGTAAGTGCAATACACCGATGGCTCTACCTATGATCCTCTTTTTAAACTGAATTCCAGTCAGGCGGCTCAGGGGCCATTCCTTTTTGCCTGTCTCTGCTGAGGTTATATATCACTTGAGGCTCAGAGCTCTCCTAAACCTGGGCTTTATAATGAGACGGAGCAAAGAAAATAAACCTCATGCGTATCCAGCCCACTTGGGTGTTTTTCAATATAATAGACTCTAACAGGCTTGTAAGACTAAGCCGGGCCAGGTCAGTTGAATATGTGGATATCATAATATACCTTCATGGCTTACACTCTTCTTATTTGGATAAGTAATTCATCTTTGTTGACTATTCATTACCCTCTTGCTCCCATCTTCTCAGATTTGACAGGTTCACTTACCTTTTGACATCATTAAATTCTAACTTGTCCCCCTACTTTTCATCTTACATTTTAGTGTCAAGTTATAACAAAGTATATGATTTATTTTATTGTATATACTTATATCTTATGGCAGTGGTTTTCAAACGATTGACGCCACCTAACTTCATATTTGACTTTCTAAGTATCACCAGACTTAAATTAGGGCCAAACATGGTGTAAAACTAAACTATACCAGTTATAAAATTAAACCACCAGAAGTAGGCTGCATGTCGTCCATGTATCACAGTTTGAGAAACACTGCCTTATGGTACTGGAGGACTTTTTCCATACTCAAACCTAATCTGCTCTGAATGGTTTTACTTGTATTGATGAAATATCTTTTTTATTTATTTAGTTAGATCAAAGTTGCCATCTTGAGAACATTAGAAACAGTAAAATGGCCCACAATGATCTTGATGATTTGGACAGTATTAAAATAAAATCTGAAGCTTACTGTAATCAGTATTTGATGTGTTTTTAATCCTTCTTTTTATTCTAGCCCTGCTGTGGAGTACACCCAGGGACTTGGTGTGGATCCAAGTCTAAATCCCGCGTGTCCTGGGTCTATTAGTTAAACCCGGAGTCTGAGAGGGTTGAACGGCTGACTGACCAATGGCATCCATGATGCTGGCCCAGGCGCTGCTGGGATGGGTGTGTCTCTGTGCTACCCAGGTGATGGGGTCACAAACAGGGACAGGAGCGTACCCAGCGAGCCGCTTCACCGGGGCAACTGAGCAGAGAGAAGCACAGAGGGTCCGCCGCAGAGGCCAGGAGACTCTCAGAGGGTAAGATCTCCTCCTTCCATTGTTTTATGCAAAAGACTACTAAGAGTATTCCATTTGAATGAAAAAACTTTTACATTGTGTTTGGGTTTACGAGCAACACAAAACAGTTGAATCTGGAGAAAGTTTCTTGTTCTGCTTTTCTGGCAGCTCTCTTCTCATGCCTGTGCTTCCTGGGATATGGCCAGAGCTTGCCTTATACCAAATTAAACTGTGAAATACTACCACATTGTTTTCACTAAACAGCACATGTTCTGCTTACTGCAAATAGGCTTCTTACTGTAAATCTGTCCCATTTTCATGGGAAAGGCAGAGGAGCAGAAAAGTGCTCTCTATACATATACCTCATGAGGGGTCATGAGTGAAAAACACGACCCAAATTCCCAAGTGCACATTAGTTTAGCTGGGAGAGTTTAGGAGGTTTGGTGTAGGCTCCTCTCTGGCGTTGGGGCGACAGATGGGGTATATGAACGTACATGTACTGTATCTAATGTGTATTTAGGTGCTGTTTGTTTGAGTCTGCATGTGGGGAGTATGCAGTCAAATGAACTAGAGGGATCATCTCTCCCAGCTGCATCCCATCCTCTCTTCACTTTCTGTTACCCCAACGTTAACAGTATGGGTGTGGAGACGTATGTCTTATGTATTTCAGAGTATATTTTTCCACTTCTTCCACAAACAATGGATGTTCTATGGAACCAATAATTTTGAGTCCGGATCAGTTGTTTCAATCAGGCACCCATCTGTCCCAGCTTACGGCTCTGTGAGTACCAAACCACAGGAAATGAGGTATTCGTTGGACTCGAAGGGTGTATAGAAGGGGCATTTGTTTCACTGCTTTAGGCGATGAAATAACTTGGGGCAGGGTGATAATGACGAAAGGACATCATATCAATCATATGAATCTATCATTGATTACATTTCATCATTTTAATTTAACACAATGTAAACTCTAAAATAACATTTAATTGCCCCAGAAACAAACAGATGTAGAAAGAACTAAGTTGTGAGAAAATTGTGGAAACAGAGGTGCTTTTAGAATGCCATTTTATTTCTATGAAACTGTACTCATGAGTAGCTAGCGAAAGCCTGCAGACTTTTTCCATTACATTGTTAACTCCTGGAAGCATTAGTGAGTCAGAAATGAACTGAATGATGGGATTATCCAAGTCAGTATCAGTAACAAAGCCTGACTTGTTTGACAAGCTACAATACTTTACAGATTTTATTTGATTGTTTTATTTGAGGTGTTCTTTTCACTTGAACGTGTGTGGAGGTAAGAATAAAATGGACAGAATTTACTTTTAGGCTGTCTTTTTAAAAACAATCTTGACGTACGAAATATACTCTTGGTTTTATTTAAAGGTCTACTGTGGAGACCCATGGTAATTCTGACACAGCAGTTACTGAAATCCAGTTTACGCCCCCTCCTCTGACACATTGCTTCACATGTAAATCCAATCTAAATGTTTAGCAGTGGCAGCGCGCTATCGGTAACTTGGCGTGCCTGGATTGTCCGTGCGAGTGAGTTTAATGATGGTCATTATGTTGGCCTTGGGCTGGGGTGCTCTGTTTATTTGCTGGCTCTAGCTCCAGATCCCCTGCTCTGTCTCTGCAGCACTGCCCCTGATGCCGACTGACTCTGATTTATTGGCTCCCACAAAACACTGGCGAGAGTCCACTTTAGGGTGTAGCTGATCAGACTGAGGCGGGATGCCTGGCTCTGTGATTGACTGTCTAGTCTGCAATGGAAGAACGTGTGAGACTAGCCTTTTCGCACATTATTTTATTAGAATATTTGTACTTTAATAAGATGATGGGTTTATGAATCCAACTTTTCATTCTTTTCGTTTTTTTTTGCTCCTTGTCAGCCACTACTTCATACTTAATGGAGCTAAACTTGGCACAGTTTTGCTCAGACATCTTGGCTACTGGCTATCAGACTGGGCCATTACATGTTGATGGCCAAACCAGCACTCAGATTTGGACTCAGGCACAAACATTTACATTATACAACCCAGATAAAATAGTTATTGCCATACACCAATTCAGAGATCATGTTTTTGTCAGCATCTACTTCACACTTCCTTAAATCAGTCATTATAAGTCAATGTCTATTGGAAGAGGTTAATGGATGATTTGGAGTTTCAACTGAACCTCTAAAAATGCAATTTGTTTGGTTATTTATTTCCTTTGACTCAAACTATGCCATCTCTAGATTACAGGTAGACAATTGTATTTGCTTTAGTATCCTTTTTTATAATATTTATGCAGTGGAAGTCACTATGGGTGGTTGTATGGATAGTCACCACTATCGAAAAAAAGAGAGGACATTTTCCAGGTTAATGTCAATACTGTGACTATAACTTTGTACTTCATTTTAGCTTATGGGAAATATGACACAGAATTTTGGGTAAGTAAGTAGCTGCCAGATTCAACACAGTCTTATGCACGTTTTATTCTATTTCTGGTTTTATTTGTCTGCCTTTTACAGTGAGCTCACGTGCAGCTTCGTTTCAGCCATAATGACAGGATTATCTGTGACAGCTGATTGGCATGTGCTCTGCAAATTTCAGTAGCCCTTCTTAACTTCTTAACTCTTGCTTCTTAGTCATACTAGTCCACATTTTTTGATTTAGCTATGAAGCTCCTCATTCGCACCTGTGCATAAAAAGGGTTTCTTTTATTTCAAACACTACACTTGAGAACACAATAGAATTCAGCTTTTTTGGATGAGATGAAATTCATACACAGTATTGAGATTCATATTTTACAGTAAATGTGTTTTTCTTCTGTGTGAGTTTTCAGACACGTTTTCCATTCACAGACACAGACACTTGTAGCCCCTCATAAGACTGTCATTACAGACATGCATTCAGGTAAGATGCCCATGTCTCTGTATCAGTGTGTTGATCAGAGGTCAAAGGTCAGGTGGCTTTTCCTCTAAAGTTCTTTGATTTACTGTCTAGTGTTGTCAAGGAAACACAGTGTTTGTTGTGGTTTCTCATTGGTCAGTGTAAAAGGCTACTGCTCTCATCTGGCTTGACCTCTGACCCTGGATTCCTGCATAGAGGCTCAGCCCTGAGGTTGTGCTTGTTGAAGATTGAATCATAGTGCTTCACGACTCAAAAACATGGATCTATTTCATGTATTGTTCTCTTTCAATAATTGTGCTCAAAAATCCAATTAATTAGTCACCCTAGTTCTTACATGCCTCTTCTTAACCCATATAAAACTGGCCCTTTTCTCATAATTGTAATGGGGTTTTCCTTCTATCCCATTGGCCCAAATAAAGACAGTATTCTGTACATTCTTCCCTCATGCTGTGGCAGCCATGTTACTTTTATTACATTAATAGCAGTTAATGAGCCATCCACAGACTGAGGACTTCAAAGGCTCCAGCTCAGCTCTGGAAGAGTTAACCTGCTTTAGACTTCGCCTGAAACAGTAGGGCACATAATATTGAGGAAAACCCCTGGGGCTTAAATGTCTTTTTTTTGCCTGTCTTCCATTGAGCTGCCTCTTTTGGTGATTTGAACCTGAAACTAGGAGAGGAAGAATAACAGAGCAAAGTAGCTCAGGGTTAGACCCCTATAATCCTTTATATATTGAGTCTGTAACCGTAAAGACTCCATACAATACACATTACGTATGTTGCTCATCATAAACTCAATCAGCCTGGTTTGTCTTTATACTGTTTAATTTTCATTGGTCACTTACAGCAGCTTGACTTAAGCCTTCACACATTCCACACATCCAGCTATTGAAATTGCAGCAGGTCCTTATTTTGTAGTTGCTGGATAACACTTCTAGTTCAGATTGAAACTAATTCACACTGAAGCAAAAGTCACTTCTTTAGCCTTTTTAGTAAGTGCATAAATGCCAGTTCTTTTCAATGGAACTCAAACTACCAATTAAAATAATCTGTTCTTACCAGTTTATTTCTCTTCTTTAGTCATAATAATCCCTTACAGTTGAATTGCACTTTACACGCCTGGCAAGCATCTCAAAGTGCTACACTCTAGTCATTATTCATTCACTCCTTACTCAGTGGTGGAAAGCCACTATCTATTTTCCACTCTGCTCCTGTTTCCTCTATGATAAACCTGTTTTTCCTCCCCCTCTTGGTGCTGTCTTCCTCCCCTCACACTGTCCCGCTGTCCTCTTGTAGGTTTGATGTGTTTATGCTACCTGAGTAAACGTCTGCGCCCCTCTATCCCGCTCTGTTGTCCCTCCTGTGCCATCTGTGAATGTGGTTAGGGTTTACTTTGCACTCCCTTGCCCCTCAAAGTCAAAGCCCAGCTGTGGTCTCGTAGGGGTCACTATGGAGATGCCCTGCTGAGAAAGACAGAGGGGTCAGAGCATTCACACCGCAGGAAGTTCATTCACAACTTTCCCTGTGCTATGATATAACTGCAGATAAATCCACTGTGTACTCCAGCAGTCAGTCGTGCTCTTGAGAAGGATGACTTTTCAACTAGTGGAGCAAATGGAGCTCCACTACATGGGAATTCTCAATTTCCAAACTTAAAACCTAACCATAAACAATTTAACCATGTGACCATTGTAAATTTACACATGTTTTCCCAGCATTATAATAATGATTTTGTGTTTGGCACTGAGTGTGACATAGAACTGGCCGCTGGGGATGCTCAGAGAGGGGCTTCACTCAATGCATCAGCTGCAGCCAGACCTCCCTGATACTCCTTGTGCATGTCCCTGGAAAAAAAAAAGGCTTGTAGTGGGGAGGGCATCTAGCAAGAAGTATGCCAAATCAGTTTTATTAAATTATATGATTATTTTGAGACCATGTAGTATTGATTTAATGGTCAATCTATGCTGTTTTGAAAGTGCGTTATGCATAAATTCATAGTTGCAGTTGCAGTAATGAACAGTTGCAGTGTAACTAAATTACATGGTTCTGATTAAACTTTTGCATCTCCAATCATAGTTGTCAATTTTTACAACTCTGAAAATCCTAATTTTTAAAAAGATACCTAGTGCTAATAATGATTGTATATTATTCAACAACAGCAACTGATATGAACTCCGGAGGTTTTCTTTCTTATGAATGAACCCTCATCTCTGTTGGCACAAGGAAACACTGTGATTTAGCACTACTATAAACAGCCATTCATTTAATTCTGGGACTAAAAGTGAATACAGGCTAGGATTTGTGTGTTCAGGACTTGAGGATACCAAGCAGAGAGGTTATAGTATGTAACAGCAGCTAAATGATCTGCCTTATTGTGATGTAGTATTTTATTCAGGAATAACGTACGTCAAGAGTGATGCATGCTGGGAATTTTATAGATGCCAAAGTTAGAACTGTGTGTGTAATTATCCATGGACAATAAAGTATGTAGTGCTGTTGCCATTAGTGCAGTGTGTAGAGGCTGGTGTGTATGCTGTACCAGTTCTCTCCTGATGTGGTTTTGCTATTTCCTCTGAGGAGATTTCTGTGGTGAACCTGTCTGCCAATCAGGATAAGTGTACACTGTGATGACTCTTACATCTGTCACACAAGGTCATAGAATCCCATTTAGTGTAACAAGTGGTAGAGCTCAAATGCACTTGAAACCCTTTATTTAGGATTTCCATAGCATATATCATTTTGATTAACTTTGAAGTAGAATTTTGAAAAGTAGAGGACAACATTACATCTCAATGACTAGTCACGATTATTAACATCATGTCCCAACAACAGTAAACATTTTTTCTTTAAATTTTCATTACCAATGTCTAATATGTTACCATTTATGTACTATGTGTTAGACTCAGACTTAGACAAACTTTATTGATCCACAAGGGAAGTCAGACAAAAAAAATCACTTTACTTTTATGTGTAAATTTTAGTCTTGAATGAAATTAAGCATTTAACAATTCACAATTAATGATTATCCACCATTATCAGTTGACTCAATTTGAAATTTTGACATCCATATATAATTGTGATTTCTGATTCTGCCCTATAGACCCAATGTGTGTGGCTCCCGTTTCCACTCCTACTGCTGTCCCGGCTGGAAGACTTTGCCCGGAGGGAACCAGTGCATCGTCCGTAAGTACTGTCCATCAAATAACTAACTACTGGAGATGATAGTTTTTTTGGCATTGGGGAAAATGTTTGTTTATGTTATGCTTGGCTCTGGATTTGATATATGTGTATTCACGTCTCCTCTTCAGCAATCTGCAGGAATTCATGTGGCGATGGCTTCTGCTCCAGACCCAACATGTGTACCTGTTCCAACGGTCAGCTCTCGCCCAGCTGTGGTGCCGGAGCTGGAAGTGAGTAATTCTTACATCCATAAACACAGAGTAATCCTCTCTATCATGTGGACGTAGTGTGGAGGAAGTCTGTTTAGGGGATTTAGGTTCAAGAGTTCTTTTCTGAATGTGAATCAGAAGACAAATCTCATTATAACTTCAGCCTTAATTTTTAGTGTCCAGTGTGCACAGCAGTACAGACCTTGGGGATCCTTCTACAGATCTTGAGCTAGGCTTGGTCAGGACTGTCTTAGCGGGAGAATTTTACCTATGGTGCATATTTTGGGTTGATGGTGGACACGTGGCAAAAACCTGCAACCTCCACACAGAAAGCTTACCCACCGTGTACGCGGGCCTGACCATAGTGAATCTGAAACACTAAAAAAGCTTGTATTGACCTCATATAACATCAGTGGTTATGAGAAATTAAACTATTTTACAGTTCCCAATTCCCATTGCATGATCTGTGTGCAAATATCATTTAAGTACTTTATCACTGTAGTAGCAATAGTAGTCATTCTAATTGCTGGTGTATTACTTGGTTAAACTATCCAAACTAAACATTTAAAACTGTCTTACGCACTGCAGCAGTTTGAGACCACTCATCCATTTCCAGGCTCGTGTCCAAATGTAACGATCCTGCATTTCCTCTCCCAGAGTGAGAACAGTTGTGGAGCCAGTGTAACAAGTACAGGGAGCAGACTTCAGGTCATAGAGTTTGTCCAGATTAAAGCAGGCCAGACACTGAGTTTATGTGAAATTAGTAGAGTAGCAGAGGTTAATGCAATATGCTATAAGTTATAATGTTCTGTACAGGAAATATTGGGAGCATGTCCTTGAGCTAAGAGGGCAGTTTATTGTATCTCAACTGTTAAGTAGGCTAGAGTTTGTTTGAGGGTCACTGTGAGCTCCTGACAAAGCCTTCACATACACGCTCATGCAAACCTGAGTCTGCACCAGCAACAGACAAAAACAGTGAGGAGAAGTAGGGCTGCTAAATCTAATTGCAATTATGTTTACATTTGCAATATATGTTCAAAAAGTTGAATTTGGGTCAGAGTAAAGGACTTATCTAAAAAATTACATTATTGCAATTTGATAACTGCTCCAACTTAAATTAACAAATCAACTTTTGTTTATAGAGCCTTTTCCAACATACAAGGTGACCAAAGTGCTTTCCAAAGTGCATTATTGAGTGTAGAAAGTCTGAATAGATAAGTTTTGAGCCTTGATTTAAACAGGGTAAAGTCTTGATCGATTTGTATTTGATATGCAGCCCTAAGAGGAAGCAGGATGTGCAGTGCTCTGCCCCTCCAGGTTGTGCACTGAGATTGACTGATAAACTCTGTAGCAGCTTTGTTAAATGTCATAGGTCAAACTGCTCTATGACTGTCTCTATGCACATCTATCACAGAAGTAACTAACCCACTGTGACCCCATAGTGACCTGTAGGTTTCTCTCTTTGGTTAAAAGGAATTGCTTTGTTTGAAAAGTGATCAGCTGTTATGATAGCTCTGAAACATCAACAGTTTATTTACTTTCAAACTTTTAGTATGACTTTCTACCATAGACTGTATAAAGAAGTGGACTAAGGGAGTGTGGCATTACCCATAGCGTTCGGCTCCAGTTACTTGAAGCTCATAATACTAGCAGATACTGGAGCAAATTTGAAGCCAGACCCATATTAGGAATGGGATTTTATTTACATATATAGCAACACCAGGATCATGTAGAGCAGGGTTAATATGAACATTTTAAGACCTGCTTAGCTATGTTCATTTATACAGTCTATGCTTTCTACAAACTCATTAAGACTATTTATTGCAATGATGAAAGCCACTTCAAATCAACCTGACCATGTTTAATTTCTCCCTTCTTGTGCCAATTCACAAATCTGCATTTTGGACTCTTTGGACCACTTTGTGCAGTTGGAGCGAAATATCAGCTCTTTTGAGATCTTTTGGAAATGTTGCTTGTTACACCACTGTGTCCTGAGACCCTGAACAATTGATATCTTACTGATTGGCCATTTTTAAACTAAAATTATAACATTATTTTGGCCTTTTAAAAGTAAACTAAAATATTGGCACTCTTCTGATGTGGCTCCTATTTGACCCGGAGATATACTAGAGTTCCCAGACACAATGACAGGGGTAGAAGTTGTAAGTCACCCTTCTAATAAAGCTACGCACAGCTCATTGCAGAGCAGCTGTGCACATGAGTATATAGGGTCAACTTTGTGAACCTTGTCTTGCATCTTACCATAATTACAAAATCATTACCATGGACATTCAAACTCTAATACCAAGAAACAGCTGCCTTAAAACTGACAGGCTTCTACTGCGCAGTGACTGGGGAATGGTGAACCCTGAGAACACAGACTTCAGTAATTATAAATTAGGGCACATTGACATGGTCTCCCCTGTTGTGGGCAATGCAAATATTATAAAACAGATTTATTAACAACATCTACAACAGTACAACAGTATTTTTCTTCTTATTTCTCTTCTTATTTACTTATAACATGTAATCCCAGGCAAAAGAGTGCCATAAAGAACATTTTCCATCAGACTCACATACACAATCCCTGACTTCCTGTTTCTCAGTCTCTCGTAAAAAACACCCAGATGTTAGCAGCTCACCGGCGACACTAGCAGAAAACAGAGGTGCATTGTGGGGCAGCTGAGAGTTCACCCTCCCTGTCTGCTTTCTTTGCTCATGTGCACATGCAGCTTTCCAGGCACGGGTCACAGAACGGGACAGGTCTCTCTCACCTGGTGGGATTGAAATGGCACGACAAGAACAAAGTATTAGCCAGTGAGATCATCTCCTCCTCTGTCTCCAAAATATGCACAATTACTTCCTCTATGATCTCCCCACTGAGAAAACATGTGGCACCGACTCAAATAAGCATCTTTTGTGCTGCTGTCATTGTCTTCTCATTTCAGTTTGGTTTATTTACAATTTCCCATAGAAACCAAATTAAGGCCCATAGAACTATAATGATTATTGTCATCATGTGGAATAAAAAAACATGGCTAGATAACAGACTTGAGGTAAGTGAAGTTTATTGCCCTTGCCATGCCCTCCCACCTGAACACACATCTTGAACTTGAGCAATCACCATAAACAAAACGCTTTCCAAGATAGATAATAGTCCCCCTTTGAAATCAAGACAAAATATTGCACATATGTGAACTCAGAAACAAAGACTATATGGTTTTCAAAAAATCTATAGATATATTATACATACTAAATAGATACTAAAACTATAGTATCAACACTAGAAACGTCTAGAAAATAGAAAATAGAAAATCATACAGGACAAAACTGGATCTGAGCTAGTATGATTCAAATTGTAATATTTAGCAAACTATTATTTTGTTGAATTTTTAAAAAAAGCTAAAAAAAAAAAGGGTGTTTCTTATTACCATAGTGGCATTGAAATTGGTATTGTGGACTTTCCCTTAATGTCAAAATCAAGGTGGAAATTTTACATCGTGACAACACTAAATTGTTGTTGCAGTCATATTTTTTCTGGATCCAGTTTTCAGAAGGTATTGGATCCAAAGTATTTTTTGTCTTGGCTCCTTTAGGCATACAGAAATGTTCATCATTTACTTTTCAAGGACCTCTCCTAATAGACTAACAGAGAGGCCAAATAACCCCACAATGTTGAAAACAAAATCTACCAAAGTAAACATTTCTTGAAGTGATCAAAAGAAAGAACTTAACCACTTCACAAAACACTGCTGTCTAACAAATGTCTCTTGGCCCATTTACCTATTTGCGAGCAAGTTTACCCAAGTTGCCCTCTCCCTCAAATGTCTGCCTCACATTACACTTATTTCTGTATGGCTAGTTCCTCGACAGGAAAAATGTAATCATTCAGTGCAATCGTTCTTCATGTTTCACATCGCTGAGAAGTTGGCATAACGACAGGATGAAGTATAGCGCAAGTTTGTTCCAGCTCGGTAAGGGGCTGAGAGCTGAAAGGACGACTGGAGTAGTGTCTCTTGGGAGCAAATGAGGAGACAGAGAAGAGCCAGCGTACAGTAAAAGCCAACAGGGACTGCCAAAGAATATAATTTATCACTGCATGTTGCTATGAGACTGAATCCAGCTCTTGCCAAATAGCTCATGTGAGAGAGAGACCATCGCAGAATTGTAGTATTTTGTGTTATAAATGGAGCAAAGGGAAAAGCCATTAACTTTAACAGCTAACAGTACCACAATCAAAATATATCTGGTCAAGTAAGTGTCGGTATATGGTATAAAATGAACTTGAATTGTGTGGACTTTTTTGTTAGTTTTATGATCATTTTGGTAATGATATGTTGTGAGCACTGGATTTTGTTTGTTTAAATGTGGTCCTAGAGTAATGGGGACCTCTTATTATGTAGCTTCATCATTGGTTATATTGTGTTGTTGTATTTATCTCAGCCTAAAAAAGTTAAAGTTTTTGTGCCGATCAGTGCCAGGCAGCTTCAGTGGCATATATCGCAATTTTTTCAACAATTATTTTAATGATTTTATTTAATCAGCGTTTTGTTTAAACACTACTGTACTAGAGTCTGTCAATGACTAATACTTTTGGCAAGTGTGGACACTCTCACACACACGCGCACACACACACGTGCATACACACACGCACACACACACACACACACACACACACACACACTAAATCTCATTAGACAAAGCCCTCTACAGAGGCTCAGTCATTTCCCTTCAGCAGCTGAACCCTGCATGCCACAAATGTTGTATAGGGACAAAGACACACAACACACTCACAGAGGAGAATGGACAAGATCTCAAGAGGAAATTAATGTTGAACTTGAGATTACGACAGAGCATGAAAGGCAGAGGGGAAGAAGAAAACTTAGAGATGGATTCTCCTGTAAAGATGGGTAACGTCACAAGAAGATAACTGTGAAAGACCAGAGAAAAGACCATTAATGCCCTAATGCTTCACTCCGTTGGAATTTGGCTCACATTAGTGTATACTGTATACTCTATATATCTTAAATATATTCATACAATACATATGAGACAGGCCTGCTGTAATTCTGTGCAGAGAAAATACATGTCGTATTGCTTTTTAGGCGTTACCTTCCACCAATGAGTTTAATCAATCCAAAACATGTCTTTTACCTAAGCAGACAAGAATCTCTTGGTTTAAAAAAAAAAGGCAGCAACTGGCAACAATCTGTGTTTGCTTCACACGATTTGTATACATACAGTCATGTTTTGAATCAGGGTATGATGGTCTGTGCATGTAACTGTTTTCTTGTTGATCATTTTTCATTCTTTGAAATTCTGTTCAAGTGAAGCAGTACAATTTGTCAGGCTGGTCAAGTAAACTATAGCATATCATAGAATATTAAGAGAATGTACTGGCAGTAGACAGCTTTTTTGGCAGCATAGTTAGCAGAAGTTTTAAGGCCCAGAAGCCTGAAGTCAAAATATATGCTCATATAAATGCTGAGAGTTTGTCCAAACTAAAGCATATGGCAAATCAGTATAAAAAGGCAGATGATTAAACCCAGAAAACAAAATAAACAAAAATGAAAGAGGAGCATTTCTATATGTCTGCTGACTCATGTGCACTTCATATCATTTCATATGTATCATTCTCTGTTTTGCTGAGTGAAAAAGTCATGCTGACATACACCAGTCTCCTTAAAATTCTGCTCTCTGTGCCGTCAGTTTGACCCCCGACTTTGGCCCCATAGTCTGTTATCCAGGTGCTCCTGTTTCACATTCACACCACCTCTGCCCTGCTGCTTTAAGGCTGCTGCTTGCCAAGTCTGATTCCAACATCAAACTTTGGAAAGGTTATCACATTAACGGCACCATGCCACTTTGGACCATCTTCTGCTCTTATTTTAATTAAAACGGCATACAGGTGAAAAAATGTTTAGTGTGGTATACCATACAATGCCTGTTAGAGTAACAAACTTTACTGTTCTAAACTGTTCTCCTTTGAATCAAATTGGCAAACATCTACCAAATGTCTACTTTTCACTACTATGCAGCATATTTCATGGTTGAATTATTTACTAGAAAAGTGATAGTGTAGGTTTTTAAACTGTAACAAAAATGTTTCCTTTTACCATATTAATCGTTTCATTTCTCCCATCCACAGTTCAGTCTTGTAACATCCGCTGTATGAATGGAGGCAGCTGTGCGGAGGACTCGTGCTCGTGTGCAAAGGGTTACACAGGGAGCCACTGTGGACAGCGTATGTACATATCTTGGAAAATGTCTTTATTACAGTGATTTGAGTCAGAAGACTTCAAAGTTCAATTGTCATCTCTTTCAGCTGTCTGTGAGAATGGCTGCCAGAACGGTGGGCGCTGCATTGGGCCCAACAGATGTGCCTGTGTCTATGGTTTCACTGGCCCGCAGTGCGAGAGAGGTGAGAGCTTTGATTTTTGTATTCAAATGCATTTACTTCAACATTAACATCTATTATTTTCTATTGTGTCAGACACCCGTAATAGCTTTAGTCTATCAAATATGGAAAACAAAATAGTTTCCATATGATACTATGAAATGGAAGCTATACCAGAAGCTCTTCACCTTTGCACCTTCACCTTCTTCTCTGTTTTGTCTCTTAACAACCTGCTTTAAAACACACATTCCCAGCCTCTGTAATTCCACCTACTTCTTCTCTCTTACACTCTTTCTAAGTACATATCATCATTTCCCCAAAGCTTACTTCCCACAGTGTGAAAACCCCTTGTAACACTCAATTTATTGTGAGTGTATGTCCTCCCTCCTCTTCACCATCACTCATCTTCTAGTGATATTTTGGTGTTGTTTTCCTTGGTTTGAGTTGTTGGAGAAAGCCGCAAAGAGTTTTAGTTATAAAAAATACTACGTCCCCACAGGACTGCACTGATAGAATAGACTATGTGAAGGACATTTCCTGAAGAGGAGCAGAGCAGGGTATGAGGAGACTGAAAATAAAAATGGACTTGCAGCTGTATAAACAAAATGGAAAAACATTGTAAATGCTAAATTTGCAGGTAGCTGTGAGGGAGGTCTAAAGTAGAAGTAAGAGTCAAGCAAATGTATGCATACTGCAAATAAACAAATCACTCAGGTAAAAGTGAACAACAATCCTTTCTCATTATATTGAAAAATGCATGTAGAAATGCATGCAGAAAATGGTCCCTTCAGGGTCAGGACTCCACTATAAAAGACATTATGAATCTCAGTGGGTAAATAAAAGTCAATAAAGAGAAGGACGAGATTTAGTAAAAGCACTGCTACTATTTATTATAATTGTAGTATTAAGGCCTAATCCCTCATCCACCCAGCACTAGTCCAATGTAGAGAAGGGTTCAGCTTTAGTCATCTGGACACTCTTTCCCAAAATGGCTTCTGGATGGGAGCCGAAATGTCTTGATTGCAAAAACAGAGTCCAGATGACTAACTACTCCACATCACTATTACTACTCTTACTACAACTACTTAACACTACTAAAAAGACTATTTCTTCTTCTTACTGTCACATTTTACTAACACTACCATTACTGCTAAAACTCCTTTTCAGTTTATCAGCAAGTAGCACATTTTGGAACTAAGGTAAATACATATTCATACTTGTTAATGACAGATACCTTCAAATGTTATAAATAAGCTTAAGACATAGTTGACACAGTTCCTAAGAAAGTTTAATGTGATAGGATTAACTAGATCAGTATTATTTTTGCAGACATTACTTTATCTAAAGACTTGTAATTGCATGTGGTTTGAACATTAGTGTATGGAAAGCCATAAATTAATAGATTTACAATGTGATCTGGTGAGAAAAGTGCTGATGAAGGAGGATCATGCATACTTCCATAACACTGTCACCAGCTATGGTTAAACTGGGTGTGTATGAAGCCCCAGAATATACACTTTGAGCATATTGAAACCAGTTCATGTGAAACACGACTATTTACTCTTCAATAAATGCCCCAGTGTTGTTAGACTTGTCAATAAGTCTTTTTTGCATTCACTTCTGCATTCACTTTATTCTCTGTTACAAGTGTAAATTCTTCTGTATTCACTCGATTACACTTTTTACATGGAGTGTAGATGGACATATGTTTTCTTTGGTCAGCCCTCTTCAAGAGTAGCTTTGGTCGTTTTGCGGTCATCTGCTATCCCACTGCGGTCAGTCCCAAAGGCAAACTGTGGTTTAGTCCAGACCAAATAAACCCAGCAGAGGAACAGACATGCCCCACGGCCAGCTGACGTCAAGGGCATTTTGATATTGTGAAAGCAAAGGAAGTGGTGCTATTTGTGGCCCATTGATTGTACAGGCAACACAGAATGGCATGGTTGGACAGAACAAATGTATTGTAGAGCAGAGGTGAATATGTGAACATTGATCATCATGGAAGAATTGACAGAAGAGCAAATACACTGGTGAGGAGGTCAAGGGTTCAGTTTTCTTATGGATGTTCAGTCAAAATTGTTGTGGTACTAAGCCCGGATAAATATGGTGATTTGTCTCTGGAATGGTAAAGATGTGAAAAACCTTGCTGAATATTTAATCTATACAGTTTAACAACCAACATGTTTTGTAGGTTAGGCAAAACTGTAATGTGACAAATCTGGCCCCTGTGACTCTGGCTTGACATGCAATCCATCTAAACCTATATTTGACATAAAGAAAAACCATCAATTACGTCTTAATGTATGTTGGGATTTTCTCAGGCTGAGTGTGTGTTTTCCATATGTTCTAATGGACCTACACTGAACTGTACAAGCCACAAGTTTTAATCCTTGTCTGGAAAAGCTCTGCACAACACAATGCACTCTTTTGCTACAAGATCCAAATGAAAGCTCCATATTTAGTGTCATTATAAACGTCACAATTCACATATCAGATTTCATGTCAGCATTATTTTTATAACTCATAAACAAATGAGGCTGCTATGAATAGAAATTTAAGTTTTCTGAAAATATGGAACAAATTGCGGGCTTTGAACTGCTAAAAAATGTCATGATTTGTGGCACATTTTAAACAACACTACAAAGGATGTCCCCTGAGTACAAAGCTTGTTGATGGAGCCTGGAGCCCACTTACTTATAGTGTGTGTCTGGCTTAGTGCACATTATTGTTTGGTTGCTTAGAAGTGGAAGTTTCCCAGGGCCAAAGGCTGCAAAAGTCGAGATAACCTTTGCAAACAATTGCATAGGAAAAGTAGTGACAGACGGTTTGCAGACATTGTGCTCAAGTTATTTAAAAATGTCATGTTTGTATGCTCACGTTTTTAGCCAACTGTTAATGAGAGATTTAGTGATATAGCACAGGCCTTATCTCACCATTCTCCCATAGTTTTGTGTGTGTTTTAGCCACTTTACTCTATTATGTAAACAAAAGGACACAAGCCCATCGAGGAAAGAGGAAAAGGGATATTTCAAGGCTCTTGATAATGGTTTTGATAAGACTAACGGGGCCTGCTATGCTTGGCAGTGATGACCATAAACTTCCCACACGTACACATGCATTCAAACTGAGAAGGCCACATGTTTGAATTATTTATTTAGATCAGCGTAAACCCAACAAAGAAGTTCCAAACAAGCAGAGTCAAAAATTCCACCCGTGCGGCCAGACATGTGACCAGCTTAAAGGCCGTAAATACAGTTAGATGTGGCTGTTCCTTCACAGGTGAGCCACAGACAGCGGTGAGTAGAATAGCCATACACATACATACAGACATATACTCACTTAAAAGTACCATTACTTTAAAAATAATATTACTCAAGTAGAAGCAGTAGTCCAAGAAATTACTCAAGTCACAATAAAACAAATATTTGGGGAAAGTATACTCAAGTAAGAGTAATTGTAAGAGTTACTGGAGGTACCATTATGGTTTGACAAAACATTAAATAATGAACAAAATCTAGTATTTTGAAAGGATAGACCATGAATATTTGAAGGAGCGATACAACACTCTCAAATATTCATATCATTTAATATTGTCAACGTTAAAGCTTTTGTAGCCAAAACCTTTACTCAAGAGTACTGTTAGAATGTAAATATATTGCTCAAATAGGAGTAAGAGTATGGTGCCTTAGTAGTAAAGTAAAATTTTATTATATGTAACCCAGTACTACCTACTGCTAGCAACAGGAAGATGCAAACTACCAGCTGTAGAAAAGAATATCCACTAAAAACTAATCTAAAGGCATTACACATTTATTTCCCCTATTTATCTTTGAAAAGCCATATAAATGATAATGGTTTCATCTTCATGCAATCAACTCATATTTCATGCTCCTTATCTTGCAAGCCTCCTTTTCGCACATCGTAAAATACTTGTGTGGTTATTTGTGGGCTCAGATTAAGGGTGCAGACTCATTTCATAAACCACAACTGAGTATGAGTGAGTGTGACCAAAATAATAAAACATAAGCGGAATGTTGACAATTCCCAAAAAACTTCTCATTCCAAGGAGATTTAGGCACTCTCACCTTGAACTCCACTGCATTCCATCCTCTTCAAAGATGGTTCATGACAGGAGAAGACTTAACTAGCTTTAATGACTTTAAGCAGTTTATGGGATCAGGCAAGCTACAAAAACATAATATGTGAAGAGGGCTGTTCCTAATAAAATGGTCTGTGTGATTAATGTAATCTGAGCTGGTCTGGGGCAAAGGTCAAGGAACTATTCCGGGAAGATTTGATTTACTTTTGACACTATGTAAACAAGCCCCATTAAAAATGGGTAAGTAAGATGTTTTGGTAAGTGTTTGTGAATGAACTAGTGATATCACAATATTAAAATTTCACAATATTAAAATTTCAAACTAGATTTTGATACCAAGGAACATATTTTATACCTGGAACAGATTATGATACCAAAATATTATAACTATATTTTTGTTCTTTGTTCTTATAATATGTTGTGATGTGTGAGCTACTGTGTCTAGATTATTTCCCTTGTGGATCAATACAGTTTGTCTAGTCTAATACAAAACACTTTTATACAATATATAATTTTCACCATGCATACTAGTTTCTCTACATTGAGGTCTTAGTATACTAGTTTTGATATACAACATCATCCTAATAATATTCAGGATAGGTCCAAATGCATATTCTATTGTATGTATGTTCAAGTATCTAGTTTTGAAACTAGTTTTATTGATTAGTAACTGGGTTTACATTATTTGACAACCTTCAAATGAACAGGTTAATGCCAGTGGATGAAGGAGCGGAAAGAGGATTCTTTTGATCTGTTGGCCAATTTGGACACTAATTGGGCCAAATTGTTTCCGAATGCGGTCAGCCGGATGTTGAATAGTCCTCCTGTCCCAGCCGGTGTATGTCCCACTCTCACATGGACCATAGATGTACATACACATACACTCATGCTCTACAGAGGACAGTCAGTTTGTGTTGGCCTGCTGCATGTTGCTCCAAAAACACAAAGCGGTGATTTAGACTTTAGTTTGGCAGTAGTTCATGGGGATGCTGATCTCTTTATGACTATATGATTGTTGTTTAACTATCTGTGAATATATACTATAGCAAGTAGGTTTTAATGTGTGCAGTGTGACTCCTGTGTAATAAACCATAAGCTATATGCTGTTGAGCCATTGATGAAGCATGTTTTTTTTTTCCACAGGCTATAATGTTAATGTATTTGGTCAGTCTATTGTAACTACAGTTTTAGAAGCAATGTGGTTGCAGGATAAAGCCAAAGATAATAAACCCAAACACTAGGGGTCAGTGAGTGCCTTGATCTGTGAGAGTTCAACGTTTTGTTTCTGAATAACATGCTATTATCTTGAAAATTTGGTGCATTAAAGCTATATATTGGCGGACGGTATCTTTTCTCTTTATGTGCAGGTGTGTAGATGTGTAGTTTTACCAGAAGCCTTTTTCTTATGTACTTCATCAAGCACTGCACTATGCTCTGCCAACCAGACTACATACGGATATGAGATCTACACCTGGGAGTCATGTAGTGGGCAGACAGAAGTAAAGGCAGATGAGCTGGAGCAAAACCAGCAGTATTTTTATGCTCACGCTGACCTTTTAATTCAAACCAAAAGCTTTTATGCTGCAAAGAAAGAAACCCATATGAACAGAACTAGAAAAAAAAATACTGACCATCCCAAGAAATTTGTTGACTATAAATTTGTCTCCACAGAAACAATTTTATGATAGACTTTTTAATGAGGACTTTATTTGGACTGGTATTGCAAATAAGGCTTCCACCATTTCATTATGATGTGATTAAATCGTAAGAACATCAAAATAGTTAACCTTAATAATAACCTTTGCAAAACAATGACATAGGAAAAGTAGTGACAGTTTGCAGACCTTGTGCTTAAGATATTAAAAAAATGCTGTGTTTAAATGCTCACGTTTTTAACCAACTGTTAATGATTGATTTAACTTAACATTTAGTGGAAAAGATTTTTATGTTGCAAAAAAAGAAACCCATATGAACAGAACTGCAAAAATAAGACTTCCACAACTTAAGTCTGGCGTGAGTAAAAGCAGGAACATCAGAATGGTTGTAAAGTGAAATCATTGTGCGAGATTGCTCAAGTGTGTTTAACATAATTATTTACCATCAAACACAAGCACAGAACTGGCAGCCCCATCATGCAATTAAGTTCTTTTGTTTCTGCAATGGCTTTGGATGGGAGTAAAAGAGTCAATGCCGACTCAATGTGCCTTTTGAACTACCGCTAAGATTTTAATTGCTTTAATTATCTGAGATGTATTCATAAAGGACTACACTTCAAAACCAGACCAAAAACATAATGTGCCAATTTAGTCTTGCTACCAGCTCCACCTTTCCTCACAGATGCCTTCCTTGTAAAATGCATCTGCTTGTAAACGCTGTTCTTTATTTCCTGGTTTTGGACCTGCCGTTAATATAATTAAACTGATGTGTTTAAAAGTACAGTGAGTCATTACTCTTAAATCATTGTGTTTCCCTGCTAGTTTTCTCCCACATCCGTACTCATTTGCATTTTATTGTTCTGTTCTTTATTTTATCACAACAAAACAATTGGTTATGTTTGTTGTTTCATGTTTAGGGAATAGATAATAAAAAAGGCAAAATAAAAAGGAATGTGCAATTTATTTAATTCCCAAACTGGTCCAAATGGTGTGAAAATGTGACAATTTTCCAGGAGTTAAAAACCAGAAGATTGGGTATGACTTCACAAAAAAGTCTAACTCTTTTGTTTTTGTTGCAGACTACAGGACAGGACCCTGCTTCACCCAGGTCAACAATCAGATGTGTCAGGGTCAGCTAAGTGGCATTGTATGCACCAAAACTCTGTGCTGTGCTACCATTGGTCGCGCATGGGGGCACCCCTGTGAGCAGTGCCCTGCCCAACCGCACCCCTGCAGGAGAGGCTTCATCCCCAACATCCGCACCGGAGCATGCCAAGGTCTGTAGTACAGTTGTAGACCATATGTATGAATGGACATAGCTAACCCACTAGCTGCTGCATGAGCATGGAGGCGCTTCTGGCTCCACCGGTTCCTATTGACTTTACATTGAATAACTCTCTCTAACCGCTGCAGTGAGCCTCGTCATTTTGGTCTTAAAATGTTCATATTAATGCGGTCTACACAATCCTACACGATCTCTTATTATTTTGCTATTTTGTCTCACTATTTCCCCCATACCTGTGACATCATGAGCTTCATTTGACTGGAACACTACAACACCATGTCCTGAGAGCCACACATGACGAGAACAGTGAACAACTTAAGTATTACTTTAGCCATCATCATGTCAGCTGCAACTACTTCCCACAACATCCTCAGACGTGTACTAACACCACTGGGCATGCTTGTATGAAAACACAGGATACAGTCTCTTGTCCTCTTAGCGATAATAACAAGTGTAACAATTACACCAGTCTATGTGGTCTCTTCATCTGAATAAGGGGCTATGCAGGCTGAAAATGCATTCTTGTTTTGTCTTTGCCAATGGGAAGACAACAACAAAAAATATTCTTTTAATATTCCTCCTGGTGAGAGACAGTAATAAACTGATCAAGCACTAAGACTTTATCAGAATAAGACACTGGTGGAGGTGAATTTCCCATAAATGAGCACACCCTGGACTCCTCAGAGACTGTGTGTGATGGTTGATATGCCATACAGATGACATTATGTTTTGTATATTTAACACATAAACAAGTAGGGCTGTGTAGTATGTAAGGTGGTATGCAATTATTATGAGATATAACATAATTTTGCATTAGTTTGATGACTTACTATATTTCAAATTTTAAAAAAGCTTAATATTTTACATGCTCAAATGACAGACTCTTTTTGAAGTGGGCCTATATACTTTAAATTTGTTTGTTGAGATGCTTGACCAAAACTTGTGTTTAATTACATTTTTAGGAACTGTCCTACATTTCATTTTGACATTTCATCTTCATTTGAGATGGTTTCTCATAGGTTTTACTGTTTAGTTTCACTGTCAAGAAAAGTAGAACTGTACTTTCACTTTTCCTCTGTATATTGTCTTAACTTTAAGATACAGTTTTTTCCTTTTCTCCTCTTTTCTCTTACACTTTAAAGCTATCTCAGAGCTGGAGAGCCTCAAGCAGTGTCTCATTGGCAGCAGTACAAAGCACACATGACCATGAATCCAAATGTAGGGGATTGCTGTCCAGGTCTCACATCAGGAAGACGGCTGCACCTCTCCTCCACCTCTGTTCCTCTCTCCTCTCCTCTCCCCCCTCTCTCTCTCTCTCTCTCTCTCTCTCTCTCTCTTTCTTTCTCTCTCTTTATCTGTCTATCTACTAGTATTTGTCTCTCTCTCTGCTTATTTTATGCACTAACATTTAGCATAGATGGTTTAATATGAGTTTAACATTGGACTAATCTGTCCTTCCTGAAGATGACATTGGATTGCAATAAAATAAATAATACCTTAGAGTAACCAGGATGCCAAGATTTTTTCTGTCTTACTATGGTGTGCGCTGTGACTCATAAGCACTTTGGGAAATTCTGATTGTAATTAAAAAGTCATTTCCAGTTCAATCATCCTCTTAATGTAGTTAGTAACACATCATAAACCATTTTCCGACATTCTTCTAGTCAGAGCAAATTCGTCATACAAAGAAAGTGGTCATCTGAATTGAACTGAGTCTAACGTGTTTTGTCTCTTCCTGCTTGACAGATGTGGATGAGTGCCAGGCTGTACCAGGGCTGTGCGCTGGAGGGAACTGCATCAACACTGTGGGCTCATACGAGTGCAAATGTCCTGCTGGCCACAGACAGAGCGAAACCAATCACAAGTGTGAAGGTGAGTCACGTCTGACCACAAAATATTACACGAGGCAGCAAGTTTATGGATAATGACATGAATTTGCTGTAGTTCATGCAGAAAAAATATATCACAGTATGAGACATGTTACAGTCAATTGAGTCTTGACTTTGACTATGAAGGTTGTCAGTATATTTGCGAAATAAAATGACTGGTGTAGATCCAGAACACTGTGCAGCTTTTTAGAAACTGTTTAGTTTTTAGTTTCAGCGGTCTACTCCTGGTGATTATTGTATCCCTAAGGGAGCATCCAGTCACCCTGCAGAGGAAACTCATTTTGACAGCTTGTTTTTGGAATCTTGTCTTTTTAGTCATGACTGAGAGCGCTGGGCAGGATTGTATAATGACAATGTTAAATTCAGAGTATTAAATCAATGGTTAGAAAGGTTATTTTATATAATATTTTATTTCTTATATTGGGGACCCACCCATAGACCCATCTCTATGGCCCTGTAAAATATGACAATGTCTTAAAACAGTGTAGAAGACTCTCCTGAGACTGCACGTGCAGCAGAGAAGACTCCCATTATAATGTGTTGATGTGCTGGAATTTTAACAATGCCCCGGCCAAACAGTGCGAAAGTTACACAGGCAGAAGTTGTGTCTTTTGGCCCAAAGCCGATGTTTTCCTGGTCTGTAGGGAGCATTACAGAGAGCCCTTAAACTGTTTCAGCCTCATCATGGCTATTCTACTGTGTAAGAGGAGACTGTATATAGACATACAGCACAGCTCACTTCTTTAACATTTTGAGTTAAATAAACTTCATGCACTGAAATTGTTATTACATAATTTTTTGACATACAAAATACTATTTGATTAATTCAGTAAATGTGTTAAGTATTGCTCATAATTCAGTAGAAACTGAGGTATCTCAGACTCAATAGTGATTTATGTTGAAGTCATTGAAGCAGGAAATTCATAGAATGACTTCACCAAATTCACTGTATTCATTGGAGACACTTTCAGTTGTGGTTTGGGTCTTTGCCCTGGGACTTACGGTAAAGAGAGCTTCTCAAGAATGTGCCATTTTGTAGTAAAAATAAAACAGAATTTACTGAAAGCATGTGTAGCCACTTTGAGTCATCAAAGCATCACAAAGAAATATTGCATTGAAATTATTAACTTTGAGCAGCCTGTGAATCATACTCAGGATACTACTACCAAATGCTGTCTGCTCAGTGGGTTTAAGCTTTGTCCCTCTTATTGCCTTTATAAATTGCTCCATTACATTTGACAAATTTTAATCACATTATGAATGATGAATAATAGACAGTTCTAAGATTCAGCTCAGTAGAGAAAGACCAATTAAATGCTTGATTGGTATAAAGGACCTATTAAATAAGCCTGCATTGATAGAGAATGTTTGAATGTGTCTGCTTTGTGAATCATAGGAATTGAATGACTTGCTATCATTTGTTGACATCTAGTCTCCATCCTGAGTAACAGTTAGAGCAGAATACTCCAGTGTTTATAAAGCCACAACATCTGCAGGAGACCCAAATCGAACAAGCAAATCTACAAATGTAGTTCCTTAGAGTTTGTTTTACAAAAATAGCTTTTAGTTAACTCCCAGTGAAACCAGTGGAGATAAAGAGCTGTTAAGCCATGGGTTGCGACTAGTTTTATGAGCTACTCTTAGCTACAGAATCAAGTTAACAGTCCAGCCCTCCCCCCGTCTTTCTTCTGTCTGCTTCTCCTTATTTGCCCTCTTTAAGTACAGTGTTTTGGCTGAAAAGCAGTTGTTAGTGTTGCAGAGAAAAATGCTTATGGCGCATTGGAGCCTTTCTCATTAGTGTGTAAACCTCACAGATTCTCCCACACCAGGCCTGCACAAATACACCAGATACTTGAGAAGAATTATAAAATGTAGCAAAAATTTTCTTAGTTTTATACAGTTGTCTGGAAGATCCAGCCATGCACATTTCTGTGTATTTCAATGAGATGATCAATTTCGATTTGCAAACAATTCAAGATGAGATAGCAAGATTGACATGCCTTATTTTCTTTTAAAAGCCCAAAACATATGAACAAGTCTACATCAGCAGTACTAAGAACTGTAATTACGCCCCACCGTGGAACAGTAATGTCAAATAAAGGGTGACACATCATAAACCCCATTACTTTTTGGAGTTGGTCTTTGGGTAAGCCTCGTCATGGAGAAATGGGGCCCCAATAATGCATTTAAGTGCCGTCATAAAGTGTGCCACACAGCCAAACGCCATGTCTAGGTAACAGCATGAGGCTCCCACCAGGCTGGATACCGCCCAGAAAACTGTCAAGGCCTGGTTTTGCTAAAGAAGTGTTTGATTTTATTGGGAATTTCGGGTGTTATTAACTGTGAGGGAGAGGGGGATGCAGTATTAAATTGTTTAGAAATGTTGGGAAAACTACTTGTAAAAGTCCCTCCATAACCTGGCCTCCACCTCCCCCACCCATGCCCGTCGATCAGCTGATGCCAACATCCTGTCTTCCCCCACCACGACTAGACCTAAAACCTGGGGGGACAGGGCCTTCTCTGCTGCTGCCCCCACCCTCTGGAACTCCCTGCCCAAACACATGAGAGACTCACCCACACTCACGATGTTTAAAAAAACACTTCTCTTTAAAACCACCTTTCATTAACTTTCTTGTCTTTAAATATCTTGAAAAGCACTGTACACGTTATTATTACTTTTTACTTAAATCCAGTCCAATTGGGCACCCTCGGTCACACTGTGAGTGAAGATTTAACCAATAACAGTGATGTGAAGAAAATAGCTGTGAATGCCTCCTATAGGAAAGATACAGCATGTACATGAATTGTGATAAAATCATAATTGTGATCTGTGATAGTGAAGGGGATTATCATTTTTTTTTATATAAGCAGATAATTAGCCTTTTATCATGCTGTGTTTTTAAGATGTTTTTTATTTGTTAAAACATGGTATTTACGACTGTGCTGCAGATATTGATGAGTGCAGCAGCATCCCTGGAGTGTGCGATGGAGGAGAGTGCACTAACACAGCTGGTAGCTACGTGTGCACCTGTCCACGGGGCTACATCACCAGCACGGACGGCTCCAGATGTGTCGGTGAGTGCCACAAAGATCATTCACCATCCCCCTCATTAGTGCTTTTCCTCTGCCCCTAGCCAACTAAACAGCACACATCTGGAGAGCTACAAACTCCTTCATCATGGCTTCCTCTGAGTCAAGCTGCCTGTGGTCACCATGTGCACAACACAAACTCACGCACTGGGGAAGGCCTTGACAAGATTAATCTGTGCCAATGCTGCAGCCCCAGTATATGACATGAAACACTTCCAGGTGCATCTGACCAATCCAGGCTCAAACACTTCCAGGTGTCAATATAGTGTAGGGCTGAGCGATATGACTTAAAAAAAGAATTTAGAAAAAATATTTTTTCTCCTATTAAATGTTTTATTCAATACAAAAAATGGCTTTCAGTGCACATTTATGAACATAACCAATACAGATTTTTATCCTTGTCAAAGTATAAATTTAGCATACTTTTACTAACATGAGGATTGGCTGTAGACCTTACAAAGGCCGTGCTGATCATTGACGATTTTGGATTATTTAAATCAATTGCATTGGTTTAGTTTGTTATTACACCAAAGTTTTTGTTTTTGCTAACTTGTTATATTTCCAAATAAGGGAGTGATGGACAGGCCAATTAACCCAATTTATTACCTTTGAGCTAAAGCTACTTACATAAATCATACTGAAGTCTACATTTTTGAAGTCTAAATTTTGTTGTTGGTGCTTTGCCAAATTGTCCATCTTTACTTTGTGAGCCAATTCTAAGATGGTTGTTGGTGAGAAAGATTCACTGTCCGCTCTCTGTATGATTTAAAACCGTCTTTATTTATACATTCAAATGTTACTCACAATGATGTTTGGGGTTGTGTTTTGGAAAATGAGCAAATGGAATAAAAATACAAAAAGATACTCTCCCGAGATTAGCATTGTAAAAACACATCACAACAAGTCAAGCCAGTTGTATGAGATACACATATTGTACACAAACAGCCTGTTGTGTGTGACCTCAGGTAGTCTGTGTTAGCATGTCATGTGGTTGCTTGTTTAGCTCCGAGTCATACACATGGAGCTGTTTAAGAGGGAGCACAGAGCAAGGGCAGGCCAGACAAAAACAAAAGATGAAACCAAGGTGATCCTAAATGTGGAACACCCCTTCAGCATGGAAGGAGTGTGTTGTTCTGATGCCACAAATTTTTTTGGGTATATTTTTATACTGTAATTGTATAGACTAGTATATCATCCATATCAAAGAAACATCATGACTCCCTGCAATGTTAAAACAACAAACTATATTGCATTTAGTCTTTGTGACACCTTTCTATTATAACAGTAATACACATCTTTTCAGTCTTAGCATCCCACACCCATCTCATATAGAAATTTGAACTTTTTTTTAGAAATACAAACTGACTACCGGATATTATAATTTTTTATTTCAGACACAAATATTATTCAGTCCATAGTTTAAAAGAAAAACTAAAAACATACAAAGCACCAAAATTAGTCCATAAAGTTAATTAAAAGTGTGGAGTTTCTGTGCCCAGTGCTTTCTCAGAGCAGATGTGTATCTGCATGAGCTCATTTGAGAATTGGTCAAAGTCATTATGATGGAGTTTTCAGACACCTTCAGGCACTCCATAAATGTGTACATTAAATGTCTAAGCAGTGCCTCACATGTGAGGATGTGATCATCTGTCACAAAGTGACTAAAGTATTTTGGTCTCTTTAGTGGGCTCAAGAGGCTGATCACATAATTTGAAAACAGGAAAGTTAATATTGTTATCCTCTTTACTCCTCACAATCATGATGTTGCTCTTGCATCCCAGCGCTGTAAGAACCGATGATTCCAAGATCATCAGAATACATGAGGTGATTAGATATACAGATATACAGTACATTAAGTTAAAATGGCAAGAGTATCCCTCCTTGTTAAGCACCATTACTAATATGAAAGGCCTCTCATACCGCATTGTCCCATTTCACTCTCATTAATTGCTTTGCATACCAGAATCGAATCGAATCAAATATTTTGGCACACCTCTGTTGACTAATTTCAAAAATAATTTGTTGTGGTTTACTCTATCAAGCGCCTTAGTGGCATCAGTAAAACACATGCATAAATACACATGTCAGTTCCATGTCCCTTTTTGAATCCAAGCTGATTGTTATTAGTTAAAACGTACACTTCCAATCTTGTGAGCAATACATTGTCTAAAATTTTAAAGAGAATGCTGGCAGGGCTACAGGTCTGTAGTTTAGCAAACTATTCAAATTACCAGCCTTGTCTTTAAAGACAGGAACCAAAACAACAGAAATAATAGGACTCCATGAGCAGGACTCCATGAGTTAAAAAAGCCAGTAAAACACATGGACAGCAGAGGACATAATTTATGACTTGAATATTTCAAGTGCTCAGCTGTGATAGTCCACAAGTTTTAAAATGGCATCATAGATTGCACTGGCATGAACCACCATACCATCAGTCATATCAGCATGATCAATAACTTTTCACTGAATTAAATAGATCTCTAATAATGTTTACACCTACACATACACCTTTAATGTTTGATGGCAGTGGAGTTGTCACATTGTTCTTAACTTTTACTTCATTCCAGAATGTATGATGGTCATTCTGCTGGAGTCTGCACAACTTGAAAGGTTATGTCATGAAAGATTTTACCTGTTTTGGATAGTAATATTATCTGGTTTTATTGCCAAAACTTCCTGATTCTGAACCATTTTGGTTGAAATACATAGTACATATAGAGGAAGCTGAAGAACATACTTCTCAGTAAACCATCATAATAAACATTTCTTGAGGATAGAAGATTAAAGACAAATATTTGAATAGTGCCTAAAAGCTCACATATAAATCTCATATAAAGGAAATTATGTGATGAAAGATTTGACCTATTTTGTGTTGACAGACCCACGGGGAGTTGAATGACATAAGTTATGGATTTAATCTGCCCAAAGTAAAACTGCAGTTGGCCTGGCATGTGTCTGCTGTATGTGACATTACATAGTCCCACATTTATATCTTTATGTATGTCCATATTTTTCCTTATTCATCTCAGGCGATGTACTGCCTGTCTTTATGCAACAAAACCAAACTAAATTATCTTTATAATACTGTAGTTCTGTGATGTCTGACTAAAGTGTGTCTTTGCTTACATTGGACTCTTTCCATTGAGTTTCTGTCACATCTGTTTCTGTTGTTTTCTTCAGTTGTGCATTTTTGTGCATCATTTCTGTCATTTCCTCTTAGCCGTAGATTGTTTCTTCAATTGACATCTGGATCTTCCCTTTTCATTTTCTCAAATGTGGTTCCAAGTTGGTCAGAAGATCTATATTTTTATCTATCTCTCAGCTCATGTCACATTTTACAGAAGGAAGGCCACGAAAAACCAGATTTAGAAGAAAGCATGAATTTATAGAAGCTTGGAATGCTGCTGGTGTGAATATCTGTGCTCAACAGACAGAAGTTGTTGGGGGTTGTCACGGTAATAGGAGCATAATGCTTCGTCACACTGTGAAACTCAGACCTGTCCAGTGAGCTAGTCTGTAAAAACACCTACCCAAATGAAAGCATATGCTGCTAAACTGAAGCAACACTAGCAACCGAGTCTGGATCCAATTTAAGTCATCATCATTCTCATCAGCAGCCACCCTCCTCCCCACTTTCCCCTCTGCTCCTTGTGCCTCCAGCCCGACTTGCTCCTATGGGATGTATTTAGGCTGCATTCCCTGTATTATACTAGTATGTGTGTAGAAAGGCTATGTGCATTTTGTACTGTATTTGTTCCCAGACGCAGTGAAACCCCTCGTGTTGTGTCTAATTGGCAGGAATTGCTCCAGATGGAAATGATTAATTCCAGACTGCAGTCTCATTAGTGAGATAATCGAAACCCCCCCCCCCACTCAGAAGCCCAGTTCATTTCATTTTTCTTTTCTTTTTTTCATAAATACTGTACACTTCTATATTGTGGCTTCTACAGCCCACATGGGATTTCCTCCACCTTCCTCCCAAAGACAAATGACTCCTTACACACTCTCTTTGAATGCTACCCCTGGCTCCTGGCCCATTGACCCCTGCCCAGAAAACTGGAACAAACAAGAGCCCTTTTTAGAGGCCTTCAGATACTTACAGTGAGCTGAGACACCATGCAACCTTTTGCACTGACACCTCATAAAGCAGCTTCCTCTGTGTAAGCGACCATCTTTAAGATACACAGGGGGCCAGCACCTTTACATTCACAACCATGTCCTATAAGAACAGTTGCTTCCTTAAAAGTATTGTGTTATAGGCTGTTTTTTATACTGCCTAATGGAGTAAACCACAAGACATGTAGTTAGACAATAGGCTAAGAACAGGTAAAATAAAATCTTTATTCAGGACTCCTCAGTAAAAAAATTATGTAAGTTCAATAAAAATCTGCTATGGCTGCTGGCAGGGTGGTTAAAACTTAAATAAACTAATTATGTGAGCAATTAAACTCTGTTACCACTATAGTTATTCAAAAATGTAATTCCTACTTTCAAATTACCAATTTTATTTTTTTTGTCACTGTGTCCAAGTAATTTCTCTGGTGGATCAATAAAGTCTAAGCAAAAAGTGTTTCCCAACAAAGGCAGCATTGTGTGACCAAAAGGTTCCTGGATTGATTGACAAGGTTTGATCAGCCCCAGAGCAGGACCTAAAACAGATTTATGCAGTACTGTGCAGACCCCTATGTGACTTTCTGACCATTGTCCAGTGGGTAGATTTAAGGCTCAAGTAAACTATTGTGAGATTAAATCTTATTTGAGTGTTATGATGTGTTACCTCTGGTAATAATAACTAGCCATTGTCCAGTGTAACCTGCCTCTTGCCAAAAGTAGCCTGTCTTCAGAGAATTGTAAAGAAGAGACTAGATTTTACTAACTGTTAACATTTGTTTCACAGATCAGCGTGTTGGCACCTGTTTCTCTGCCCTGGCGAATGGCCGCTGTGCTGCAGAGTTGACGGGGCAGTACACCAAAATGCAGTGCTGCTGTGACTCAGGGCGCTGCTGGGCTTTGGGCGCCATCCCGGAGATGTGTCCCGTCCGTGGCTCTGGTGAGTAAAACAAATTTAGAAGAATGTGAGACAGAGCCAAACCCTTTGTCTGTAATGACCAACAGCATCTGTGAAAGATCACCCCAGACGACATAGACCCCATTTTTAACCATAATCTTCTTTGTTGTAATAAACACGCTGGTTAACATTTGACATGGTATTTGGCAGTAAATAAAGCTCGTGTAAATGGATGTGCCACATTAATTTAACAGAAATGAAAAGCTTCAGGAGTGATCTCACTTGGTTATGTCATGATTAAACATGTGTTTGACAGTGACAGAAGTGCACACATGATATCATAAACACAAAATCAAATGCAGCCATTGTTTACTCACAAGAAATATGAAGAATTATGTGGCTAGAATATTATTGTTTTTTGTATGAAATTGAAGGACAGACAATAATGGTCCATAACATGGCTATATTTAGCTTATTATCTGAACATTCAAGGGTAATTTCATAAAATGTATGTAAAGTGCGCAGCCTTCCATTTGGGTTAATACAGATTGTTTAGATTTTGTTCTAAACAAGGTCTTATTCAAGACAAGTCTTTAAAACTTGTCTAGTAAGTATTTTCAGAAGTACTTCTGAAAAAAAAAAAAAAAAAAATCAATATATTTCTCTTGCTGATATATTTCCTGCATATTCCCATTCCAAGATTTCATAGATACACATTACTACTATAACACTGTACATAGCTTTCTCATAATTAATGTCATATGTGTTTCTTCATGTTGTCCTGCACAGATGAGTTTAGGCGCCTGTGCATTGTGGGTGTTCCTCAAGGCCACGGTCTCCCTCACGTCTACCCCAATGGACACTTCCCCAACACCAACGGCAATGGCTTTCACTATGGCTACAAGTTCCCCAGCCTGCCCAATGGTAATGGCAATGGGGGAAATGGTGGAGGAGGGGGCTTCGGAGGGAATGGAGGTGGATTCAATGGGAATGGAGGCAATGGAGGAGGTCTAAACCACCAGCAAATTGGTTGGTCTCTGCTACCTAAGTGAATAATTTGACCACAATTTAGAGTTTATTTTGTGGTTATATTGAATCTCTTATTTGCAGGCACTGTCTCTGTGAATGACACTGTTGATGTCTGCAAGCACTTTACAAACCTGTGTTTGAATGGACGCTGTATCCCTACACTGAACAGCTATCGGTGTGAATGTAACATGGGATACAAGCAGGACATACGTGGGGAATGTATTGGTAAGACACATTTTCTACTATACAATAATTACTACAGTTTATTTATACAATGAATGGAAGAATTAGAAATGACATACAACTTATCTTTACTTGAATAATTAAAGTGAGTTCATATTTAAATTTCATTATTCTTTACATCTACTACGAAAATATAAAAATTCGATTTACTTTTTAAGAAAAAATCAGTGCTCAATATCATTTTCAATACCACAATAGTGAAAAAAACATTCATTTTTAGACCTTAGAATGCCATTTTTAACTCTAACTTTCTACTTTTACATTATCATATGGTCTTGCAAATTCTGATACATCAAGACCATTATTAAAAAGGTATGACTTCTCTGCTATAATTGTCTGCACTGCACTGCCATCTTCTGTCCTTTCAGTGGAATTGTATATATATATGTGTGTGTGTGTGTGTGTGTGTATATGTATATGTATATGTTATATATATATGTTTTGTTTTTGTTTTTTTACTTTTTACAGATGTGGATGAATGTGTTAGTAATCCTTGTATCAACGGAGACTGTGCCAACACACCTGGGTCTTATCACTGCAAGTGTCACGAGGGTTACCAGGGCACCCCCACTAAACAAGCCTGCATTGGTATGTCTGACTATGCTTTTACAAGCCATTATTGGTGTAATGCAACCCCATGTTCTTTTGGAAAATAAACTGTATTCATCTTAATGACAGGGTTTAATCACATTTAATTTGGGATGTTCCTATGGTTTATTTGGCCTAAGGACTATAAACTGGTTATCTTAATTGTGGCTCCTCTTGTTCCCCTGACTCTAGACATTGATGAATGTATTGTGAACGGAGTGATGTGCCGCAATGGTCGCTGTGTCAACACTGAAGGAAGTTTTCAGTGCATCTGCAATGCTGGCTTTGAGCTGACCCCTGATGGAAAGAACTGCATTGGTAAATAAAAACAACTACGGTAATCTGAAAATTTACATCTACCTGACTCTTGGCCTGATTTGTCTTCATCTTATTTGTCTTCTCCAGACCACGATGAATGTGCAACCACCAACATGTGTCTCAATGGGATGTGCATTAATGAAGATGGGAGCTTTAAGTGTATTTGCAAACCTGGTTTTGCCCTGGCACCAAATGGACGTTATTGTACTGGTATGTTAGGCATAAAAAACATATTATGACATAGGCTAAAATATGCAAATATACATATTCATAAGTTTCAGCTTTCTGTTTCTAGGGACCATTTTGGGCACTTTTTGTAATTCAAAGAATATAGTATAGTTTTGAATTGCAAATTGCTATGGCAAATGTATTAATTGCGATCCCTCTGAAAGCCCATAAACTGTGTACTCATTTGGAAAAGTAATAAACATATTTATTTTTCACAGATATTGATGAATGCCAGACTCCAGGTATCTGTATGAATGGACGGTGTATTAACTCAGAGGGGTCATTCCGCTGTGAGTGCCCTCCCGGTTTGGCCATTGATGTTGACGGCAGGGTTTGCGTGGATACTCACATGAGGACCACCTGTTATGGTGCCATCAAAATGGGCACCTGCTCACGCCCATTTCCTGGAGCTGTAACCAAATCTGAGTGCTGCTGTGCCAATCCTGAACATGGCTTTGGTGAACCATGCCATCCCTGTCCCTCCAGGAACTCAGGTACAAAGTGACAAAATTAACAGATATGCTTATTTGTAATAATAATGATTAATATTATCCTGAAATTAATCATAACAACTGGATCTTCAAGTCTTTGTGTTAGTGACTGTAAAGAAGCTGCTTGGTTGCTTGTGTAATTCCTCAGTCGTTCAAGTAGAATCCATAGAAAAAGAAGGATTAAATTCTGTTAACTAAACAAAAGTTTAATAAGTGTAGTTGTTTTGATTAATTTCATATCTTATAATGATAATAATAATATCTTTTCTTTGGGCATCCCAAGAATTGCTTCAATTGATGATGATTAACATTTTTCTCCTTGTTTTATAGCTGAGTTCCAGGCTGTATGTAGTAGTGGCATTGGTATAACAGCTGATGGCAGAGGTGAGCAATATTTAGAATTATAAAGTAAAATTAACAATTCATGAGTCACTTCCACATTTTATCTTATGTCTTTTTAATAGATATCAATGAGTGTGCCTTGGATCCAGATATTTGTCAAAATGGCATCTGTGAGAATCTGAGAGGAAGTTATCGCTGTATCTGCAACATTGGTTATGAATCTGACAGTAGCGGCAAAAACTGTGTTGGTAGGTTATGTTTAAATTCTTTTTGCAAAAAAATAATCCTGACCTATTTGGTATAAAATTGGCTAACACTGTAGTTTAGACACCTACAAACATGTTCTGAAATCATGAGATTGTTGTATTAGTTTAGCAGTTTAGCATTTCAGTCTTCTCTGAAATGTTTATGCTCTTATAACTTTTAACTCTCTGTAAAAGAATGTGACCCCCTTCCTGAAGACAAATTTCTTCCATGGGAGACAATAAAGGATGACCTTCTTATCTTATTGTTATACACATTTTTAAAAGAACTCAGCTTTGACCAGAGACTGTTGTTGTTTTTTTCAGATATCAATGAGTGCCTGGTGAACCGGCTTTTATGTGACAATGGCCTATGCAGAAACACTCCTGGCTCCTACACCTGCTCCTGTCCCAAGGGCTTTGTCTTCAAACCAGACTCCGAGACATGCGAGGGTAAGTGAATCATTGACAAATAAATTCACTTGCAGCTCTGTGTTATGTCATTTTTGCCAATCAAGGCCGCTAGTGGGTCATTTGTACCAGATGTGTTGTCTTAAATTCCAAATAAACAGAATTCCCTTCATAGAGAAACAGAATAAATGTACTCATCACTGCCAGAGGCTGATGGTAATTCTCAGCCCTGACCTTACATGTGCTCTGTTTCAGATATCAATGAGTGCGAGTCCAGCCCATGCATCAATGGAGTATGTCGTAATGTGGCCGGGTCTTTCAACTGTGAGTGCTCTCACGGCAGCAAGCTGGACTCCACCAACACCATCTGCGTGGGTAAGAACTGTCTTTACTTTGGAACTAATCTCTAAATAACTTAAGTAAATAAATCAATCTTTGGGGGTGATTAAGTTTATACTGGGCGTTGTATTTTAGGTATTTGGCTCACTTTATTACTGGATTAGCATTTTATTAGACATTAATACATAGATTTAGTTCAGAGCTGAAAGATTAAGATCTCAAGTAGGTTCATACTGATGTAGTGAGAGCTGTGACAAACAGAATTTTTGGCTTGGTTTCTTTTGTTTCTTTTCATTATTAAATAATGCCACATGGAATTTTGAATGCAGTGATGATTCGTTCTAGTCAACTTGTGACCCTTAATGTGATATTGGAGCTATAAAAGTTTTATTTTTTTGTCTCTAAAGTTTAGAATAGCCATTTGGTTTATATTTGAAATTTGCATTACTCCCGTCACTTACAGATAGCATGAAGAGCACCTGCTGGCTAACCATTCAGGACAACCGCTGTGAAGTCAACATCAACGGCGCCACACTCAAGTCTGAGTGCTGCTCCACTTTGGGAGCAGCCTGGGGCAGCCCCTGTGAGCCCTGTGAAATTGGTCAGTTACCATTATACAATCATCAGTTGCATTTTATATTCACAGTATCCTGATGTTGTACTCTAGATGCATGTGAATTTTAATAAATGGTTTTGACTCATTTTATTAATCTTATAGATACAGCATGTTCCCGTGGATTTGCTCGTATGAAAGGTGTTATTTGTGAAGGTAAGCCATTTACTTTCTGTCCTTCATAGTATAAATATTATAAAATACTTCTGGTACATATCCAATTAAAATCACATAGAAAATTTCCATGTTTAACCTTGTAATCTAAATGCATTGCTCCCTTTAGACATTAATGAGTGTGAGGTGTTCCCTGGCGTGTGCACAAATGGCCGCTGTGTGAACACTCAGGGCTCATTTCGCTGTGAGTGTCCCGAGGGCCGCACTCTGGATGGGACTGGACGTACCTGTGTGGGTAAGGAACCTACAAAAGGGAGACTCTACTGATACATCTTAAGTCTGTGGGACTCAGCTAAATATGGCTTGTGATGTTTTCAGACATGCGGTCTGAGCAGTGCTACATGAAGTGGCATGAGGATGAATGTGGGGCCCCTTTGCCCGGACGGTACCGCATTGACATGTGCTGCTGTTTGGTGGGTGCTGCCTGGGGTATCGATTGTGAGGAATGCCCCAAAGAGGATACACCTGAATTCAAAACCATCTGTCCCAGAGGCCGTGGCTTTGCCAACCGAGGAGACATTCTGACTGGCAGATCCTTCTATAAAGGTATATTACTTTGAAATTAGAACATGAAAAATATAGTATTTCATAGTTATCTAATATAATATGGGTGTTATCCTCAGATGTGAATGAGTGTAAGGTGTTCAATGGTATATGCACTCACGGGACTTGCCGTAACACCATTGGCAGTTTTAAATGTCGCTGCAACAGTGGGTTTGCCCTGACTGCTGAGGAAAGGAACTGCACAGGTACAGTTTGAAAGCACATGCAATATTACAAGGCAACATTGTTGTACATTGCCAAAATCTCCCAAAAATGTTTATACTTTTGTTTGTCAGACATTGATGAGTGCCGTATCTCCCCTGACCTGTGTGGACATGGAACATGTGTCAATACACCTGGTAGTTTTGAGTGTGAATGTTTGAGGGCTACGAGAGTGGATTCATGATGATGAAAAACTGCATGGGTGAGTCAAGCCTGAGTAGATTACTTCTTATATGCTCATTTCTCTCTTCTGACATCTTTTGTTTTTCCTGCAGACATTGATGAATGTGAGAGGAACCCTCTGTTGTGTCGTGGAGGAACCTGCCTCAACACAGATGGAAGTTATGAGTGTGAATGTCCCTCTGGATACACTCTGAGCAGCGATGGCTCTGCCTGTGAAGGTCAGCCACATACTGCATAACTGTATAACTTTACTATTGTGTAGTCAATAACATGTTTTATTATAATTCAATAACATTTTAATCTTGTTTTTCAGATTTAAATGAATGTGAACTCAGTGAGAATCTGTGCAGAAATGGGCAGTGTGTGAACATGCCAGGAACATACCAGTGTTCATGTGAGACAGGTTACCAGGCCACACCGGACAGACAGAGCTGTGTTGGTGAGTTTTCTGATTCAGTGTAAACACCCCAAAACTCTCCAACACTGATAACTAGTCTTGTTGCCTTTGTCTTACTATTGATTTATTTTTTCCAGATATTGATGAGTGCACTATTATGAATGGAGGCTGTGAAACTCACTGTACAAACTCAGAGGGCAGCTATGAGTGCAGCTGCAGTGAGGGTTATGCTTTGATGCCTGACCTCAGAACCTGTGCAGGTACTGACTTTAAACACCTGGGTTATATTTATGTATCATGTTGATGTTGACTGGGCTGACTCTGTTTCCTCTTGGTTTAGATATTGATGAATGTGAAGAGTCACCTGACATTTGTGATGGAGGCCAGTGTACTAATATTCCTGGTGAATATCGGTGTTTGTGTTATGACGGGTTCATGGCTTCCATGGACATGAGGACCTGTATCGGTAAGAACAGTCATCCAATTTTACTATTTAATTCATCAATCAGATTTTTCTAAACAATGGGTGAACATTATTATAGATGTGAATGAGTGTGACCTGAACCCAAACATCTGTCTCCACGGTGACTGTGAGAACACCAAAGGCTCTTTCATCTGCCACTGTCAGCTGGGATACTTTGTCAAGAAGGGATCCACAGGCTGCACAGGTATATAAACTTAATTGTTGTGTATGAATTATAGGGGTGTGTGTATCTATATAGTTGAGGAGGTGAACTCATGCATACAGTATTGTAGAGACATTATTATTTATAAACCCAAAGACCACCTAACTTGGTGAAAAGAAAGTTACAATTTCCTGTATGAAATGAGTGCTGTACAGAAGCCATGTGTGCATCAAACTATATTAATACAAGTATAATATTTAATGTTTGTATGTCTTAAATGTATATTATTTTGCAAAAGTCATTAAGTTATTCTGTATCAACAGATGTGGATGAGTGTGAGATTGGAGCCCATAACTGTGACATGCACGCTGCCTGTATTAATGTACCTGGAAGCTTCAAATGTCGCTGCAGAGATGGTTGGATCGGAGATGGCATCAAGTGTATTGGTGAGTGAGAAAAGAAGTTGGTATTTTATCATTTTAGTAATTGTTTAGTTTTTGGATTCATGTACATCCTGTTACTATCTGTAGACCAGGATGAGTGCTCTGCAGAAGACCACAACTGCAACATCAACGCAGACTGTGTCAACACACCAGGCTCTTACAGGTGCACATGCAAAGAGGGCTTCAATGGAGATGGATTTTCATGCTCTGGTAAGGTTAATTTAAAAAACACTGTGAAATAATTGTATCCATATGTGAACCTCACGAGATTGTTTGTTTCTTCTGTTTTAGACATGGACGAGTGTGCAGATAATGTGAACCTGTGTGAGAATGGCCAGTGCCTGAATGCTCCAGGAGGATACCGCTGTGAGTGTGAGATGGGCTTTACACCAACCGAGGACAATAAGGCCTGCCAAGGTACTGCACACTCACTTGTTTGACATGTGTACAATGTGTAAAAACAATATGTAGTACATGTGCTGCTATGTATCATCCTGTTTCGCAGATATCGATGAGTGTAATTTCCAGAACATATGCGTGTTTGGAACGTGCCAGAATCTTCCAGGCATGTTTAGGTGCGTCTGTGATGACGGTTATGAGCTGGACCGCAGTGGAGGAAACTGCACTGGTGAGTGTTGGACTGCTGTAATCACAGCTCTCATACTGAACAGACAATTGTCTGGTGTCTCTAGGACATAGTTAGAAATATTGGCCACTGATTCAATACAACTAATATCTAAACATGGTTCTATTATATGTCTGCAGACATCAATGAGTGTGCTGACCCTGTGAACTGCATCAATGGACTGTGCGTGAACACCCCAGGCAGCTACTTGTGCAATTGTCCTGCCGACTTTGAGCTTAACCCGACTGGAGTTGGCTGCGTGGGTGAGTCACTGTACCAGCTTTAACTAGTTCTGTTTTTTTTCTCTTAAATCTTGAATTCACTACTTGGTTCCCAAATGTAATGAGTATATAAGCACATTTAATGTACTATTTATTGTAGTCAATGCTGAATCACTAATCTTGTAAATATTCCCAGATACACGTGTTGGTAACTGCTTCCTTGATGTCCTGGCTCGAGGAGATGGGGGTATCTCGTGCAGTGCAGAGATTGGTGTGGGGGTGACCAGAGCATCCTGCTGCTGCTCTTTGGGAGGAGCCTGGGGCAACCCATGTGAACTTTGTCCACCCTCCAACTCCAGTAAGACGCCTGGATAGCTGGAAATATTATACCAAAATCATCAACATTTTTATTTTAAAACTGATGTCTTTCTACAGCTGAATATAAGACCCTCTGTCCCGGTGGAGAGGGTTTCCGACCAAACCCCATCACTGTTATTCTTGAAGGTTTGAATTATTATTATTATTTTTTTTGCTTTACCAACTTTATCAAAATGTACTTAAAAATTAGTTTTTGACTAACTTGTGTCCCTTGTAGATATTGATGAGTGCCAAGAGCTGCCTGGTCTGTGCCAGGGAGGAAACTGTGTGAACACGTTTGGCAGCTTTCAGTGCGAGTGTCCTGCAGGTTACTACCTCAATGAAGAAACTCGTATTTGTGAGGGTAAGAAGCTTTTATGTAAAATGCATGAAATTAAAATGTGTAAAACTGTAAATAGTTTGGTATTAATCAATATTCTTTTCAGATATTGATGAATGTACAACTCACATTGGCATCTGTGGGCCTGGTACCTGCTACAACACTCTGGGGAACTACACCTGTGTGTGCCCTCCAGAATATATGCAGGTCAATGGAGGAAACAACTGCATGGGTGAGTTGTGTTGCTGTGTTGCTGCTGTGGACATGATATTTTCTCTCTTATTTTTAATAAATTTTACTTCTGTCTTTTAGACATGAGGAAGAGTGTCTGTTACCGTAACTTCAATGACACATGTGAAAATGAGCTGTCCTTTAACATGACCAAAAAGATGTGCTGCTGTGCCTACAATGTGGGCAAGGCCTGGAACAAACCCTGTGAAGCCTGTCCAACTCCCGCCACCAGTACGCGTCTATCACCACGACAACATCAAGAGTGTGATTAAAACTTTTCAATTTCACCATCTCATTTACACTGTTTCTATTCCCTTTAGATGAATACCAACTGCTGTGTGGAAACCAGGCTCCAGGCTTCATCATTGACATCCACACTGGAAAGCCTATTGGTGGGCATTTAACAAATTACCAGTGTTGTTTTCTATTATTTCCTTTTTTATAATGTTATTGTTTTGTGCAGATATTGATGAGTGCAGGGAGATCCCTGGGATCTGTGCCAATGGTGTCTGTATCAACCAGATCGGTAGCTTCCGTTGTGAATGTCCAATGGGCTTCAGCTACAACAATATCCTTCTCATTTGTGAAGGTCAGAAATGGTGTCAAACATAGAAACTCACAGTTTTAATATTGTATGCCTGCCACTGAAAATTATTGTGTATGTTGTGAAACTCTGTGTTCAGCTAGGCATTTTTACAAAATGTCCACTCAGTGGAGTTAATGCTGCCTTTCCCTATGTGAGTTATGTCCTTGTAAAGATCAGTGTTGTGGCTCCAATTTGGAGCTGCTGCCAGGACTTTCAATCATTGTGAAAGTGCTAGTTACTGTCCTAAGTGTAGCACAGCCAAAATGGCCGCGTTATGTTTTGCCTCCCACGGGCCACAAGCTGACGGCCCGCTCACAGACGACAGTTTTAGAGCTTGTGATTGATTGGCTCTGTTTCCTCCCTCTTCCTCCTGTGCAGATATTGATGAGTGTAACAGTGGAGACAACCTGTGCCAGCGAAACGCCAACTGTATCAACATCCCAGGCAGCTACCGCTGTGAATGCTCTCCAGGATTCAAGCTGTCTCCGAGTGGAGCCTGCGTTGGTGAGTTCACTTTGCCTGACAAGCACTAATGGGGATTCCCTCTGAAACAATCATTAACACTGTTATACACAGTGTTGTGCATGAACGAGTTCAAAAGAACGCGTTCATTGAACACGTTCATTTTTCAGTGAACTTTGAACTGAACGCAACACTTTTGTAAATCAAGAACTTGAACGTGAATTTGTTCAAATTATGTGTGATGAACGACGTACGTCACTGTTGGGGTTTAGTTAAACGTCGGAATTTGACGAGTGACGATCTGCTCGCACTTCACCTCGCGAAACCACAGCCGCGTGTCAACGCGAAGGCGACTCCACCGGCAGCTTTAGTGGAACATACGGGCTCTTGTGTCTCTCAATGAGAAGTCGCGTTTAGCTGCTTGTATTTACCTTCTGTACAGGCTGACCACGGCAAACACAAGGATTTCAAAGGTAAATTTCAAAGCACAAATTAACAGTGTATGTGGATCTGGGCTCTTTCACATGATACAGAACTGCCCAGGGAGCACAATGTGCTGATGGTAAATGCACAAATACAAAAATAGATACATGCTCTCTGTGTATTTTGACGGGGACGCTCGTGTAGAGCGTCAAAAAATAGAATGGATCCTATTTTCTGAAATCTACACGCGCGTATTATTTTACTTGGTACATATGTCAGTAACGCGCGTCACAATGCTTTTTTAACCTGGATTGAAATGGTGGGTTTTTCGTTTTTCTTCATACAAACTTGCTAAAATCACCGCGATATCAGCAGCAGTGAAACGCCGGAGGTGCGCCCGCGTAGACCGTGATCCTGAGTGAAAGGACCGACGCAGAAGTCCGCGCTCCACCGAGACTAAACGCAGCTGACGCCCGATCGCACTCGGGGTTCTCTCAGGGGCGGTCCTGGTTTAGATTCCAAGTTCTGGTTTAGTCCAGGTTTAGTCCTGGTTTACTGGTTAGTCCTGGTTTTCCTGGTTTAGTCCCTGGTTTAGTCTGGTTTAGTCCTGGTTTAGTCCTGGTCTGAGTGGTTCCTGGTTTAGTCCTGGTTCAGTCCTGGTTCAGTCCTGGTTTAGACCTGGTTTAGACCTGGTTTAGACCTGGTTTAGTCCTGGTTTAGTCCTGGTTTAGTCCTGGAGTTCTGGTTTAGTTCTGGTTCAAATAGTCGTGTAATGTTTAAATACAAGAAATGACAAATGACAGTATTACAGTTTTAAAGTCACTTGTCCAACAGTGGATCTTGTAAAGTTGTTGTAAACTAGAAGTCAGTTTGAAAAATAAAAGCAGCCTTTCATTTACAGATCTCATCTAAATATAAAATGAACTGAACTTTGAACTAGTTCGAAATTAAAATTGTGAACTATGAACGTGAACTATTCACTTTGAACAAGTGTGAACTGAACTTTGAACTAGTTCATGAAAAGTGTGAACTTGCACAACACTGGTTATACATTATGTATAGTATTTATACAACATTATATTTCTCATATGACATAAAAATAAAGTGTGCAATGGACATTGCTCTTTCTATGTTAAAACTCAGATCGCAATGAATGCCAGGAAATCCCTAATGTCTGCAGCCATGGAGAGTGCATTGACACTCAGGGAAGCTACCGATGTCTGTGCCACAATGGCTTCAAGGCCACTCTGGACCAAACCATGTGCATGGGTAAGACTCATTCTCCATTATGTAGATTATGCTGAATGTGTGTGAAAACAATTGACTGTACTGTTGTTGTTTCAGACATCGATGAGTGTGACAGACAGCCATGTGGAAATGGCACCTGTAAAAACACTGTGGGGTCCTATAACTGTCTGTGTTTCCCCGGCTTTGAGCTCACACACAACAATGACTGCATGGGTATGCATCGATCACTTCTGACAAAGGTCAACTCTAGTTAGTGTTCTTTGAAAAGGTCGACATCTGCTGAAGAGTTATAATATTGTTAACATATCATGGAAATACATTTTGCCCTTTCTTTATGCAATCTATTGGACAAATAACAAACAGATGAATGACAAGGTACATTTGATACATTTGTTACATTCATCTAACCTTTATATATCTATAGCTGAATCTTAAAGAAATGGAAAAGAATCTAAATACTAAAAATGCCTTTAGCAATGTGTTTTATAGTTTTGAATTTTTATGATATCAACAACAGACTTGGATTTGACTGTTTCCATATGATTTTGCAGACATTGATGAGTGCAGTGCTCTGCAGGGTCAAGTGTGCAGGAATGGACACTGTATCAATGGCTTGGGCTCCTTCCAGTGTCTCTGTCTGGAAGGATATGAAAATACACCAGATGGAAAAAACTGTGTTGGTAAGAGAATATTTTATATTTAAAGTATTATAAACTTTTTCTGAGTTTTGGACAGACTTTAAGTGGCCTTTTCTTTTCAGATATCAATGAGTGTGTAAGTCTGCCAGGAACTTGCTCTCCAGGAACCTGTCAAAACCTGGATGGATCTTTCAGATGTATTTGTCCCCCTGGATATGAAGTGCAGAATGACCAGTGCATAGGTAGGAGTCCAAGTCTAACAAAGTTTTATATTTTGGACCTTAAAACTAAGCACTCACCTAAAATGTGCTGTTTAAACTGTTTCCGTCTGCAGATATTAACGAGTGTGATGTCGAGCCCAACATCTGCCAGTTTGGCACTTGCACCAACACTCCGGGCAGCTTCCAGTGCACATGCCAGCCAGGCTTTGTTCTGTCCGACAACAAACGCAGCTGCTACGGTAAGAGGACCTGTTGGTTTGTATTAGCCTAATCAAGATAATGTAATGGGATCCTGAGAATAAGACCTGATTTATTGTTTCCAAAATGTCAGACACCAGAGAGAGTTTCTGCTTCACCAAGTTTGAGGCTGGAAAATGTTCAGTACCCAAAGCCTTTAACACAACAAAGGCTAAATGCTGTTGCAGTAAGATGCCTGGTGAGGGCTGGGGGCTTCCCTGTGAGCTATGTCCTCAAGAGAACGAAGGTAAACACTATACACACCATACGTTAATTAAATTTAACAAGTTTGTATAGATAATGACACTGACCTTTCTTGTTACATCCCCAGCTGCTTTCAACACACTTTGTCCTTTTGGCCATGGTGCTTTGCCTGGACCAGGAAATACCCGTGAAGGTCAGCACTAAATCAACATGGAATGTATCATATATATATATATATATATATATATATATATATATATATATATATATATATATATATATATATATATATATATATATATATTTACAGAGAGAGAGAGATAGATATATATGTTGTTTCTATATCCACAGATATGAATGAGTGCCTGGAGAATCCAGGCATCTGCCAGAATGGCATCTGCATCAACACAGATGGTTCTTTCCGATGTGAATGTCCATTTGGATACAATCTGGATTACACTGGAGTCAAATGTGTTGGTAAGTAGATATTGCACAAGGTGTCAAATAACTACTTATGGTTCTGCATAAAAGTAAAGCATAATAGTATGGCAGACACGTTTTCCTCAGACAGAAAATCAATAGTTCTAGATTAATGTACTGCATTGCATCTTGGTGTAATTTAGGTCAAACAGAAACCGTTAATAGCTGCTTAAAGGCATACATGTTTTATTTTTATTATTTACTGCTTGTCCCCTGCAGATACTGATGAGTGCTCTATTGGAAATCCCTGTGGAAATGGAACCTGCACTAATGTTATTGGTGGATTTGAGTGTGCTTGCAATGAGGGCTTTGAACCGGGCACTATGATGACCTGTGAAGGCAAGCATCAAATTCAAAATCAAACTTATTGATGTAGACGTTTAGATCAGTCTCATCTTATTCCTTCATTATTTCAGATGTAAATGAATGCTCCCAGAATCCACTGCTGTGTGCTTTCCGCTGTGTCAACACATTTGGTTCTTATGAATGTATGTGTCCATCCGGCTACGTCCTGAGAGATGACCATCGCATGTGCAGAGGTTTGCTAACCACATCTGAATAGATATCTAGCTATATATAATATCATTGTATTTGGACCGCATGACTTAACTGTTGGTTGCTTTTCCTCCTGAGCAGACCAGGATGAGTGTGCGGAGGACTTGGATGACTGTAACTCAAAGGGCATGATGTGTAAGAACCTGATCGGTACATTCATGTGCATCTGCCCTCCTGGCATGCAGCGGCGCCCAGATGGAGAGGGCTGCATGGGTGAGTGGAATTGACCTCATACATAATGCTACATACTCCTGTACACTCATGCACATTGTTTATGTTCCAATGCCAGATTTGAATGAGTGCCGTGCCAAACCTGGCATCTGTAAGAATGGGAGATGTGTCAACACTGTGGGAAGTTACCGCTGCGAATGCAACGATGGTTTTGAGCCCAGCTCCACAGGAACCGAGTGCATTGGTAAGATACTGCCACAATTTCAATGGCTTTAATTAACACTGAATTAATCAACAGGGAATAATTTTATGTAACTTTTATGACTGTTTAGTTTCAGCTACTAAAAACAAACAAGCTAAAAACTAAAACTCCAAAAATTATCTTAAGCCACTCTGTGTTATAGACAACAGGAAAGGCTACTGTTACATGGAGGCCCTGCAGACCATGTGTCAGCAGTCGTCCACAAACAGAAACAGTGTGACTAAGTCTGAGTGCTGCTGTAACGCCGGCAGAGGATGGGGCACTCAGTGTGAGCTTTGCCCACTCCCTGGCACGGTCCAGTACAAGAAGATGTGCCCTCTTGGACCAGGCTACACTACTGATGGGCGAGGTAATTTCATTTTCTGTAGTTTACAACAGTAATATCTGAACATCTCTCTAACTTTCTTATGTACTCTCAGATATTAACGAGTGCCTAGTGATCCCAGACCTGTGTAAGAATGGTCAATGCATCAACACAATTGGATCCTTCAGATGTCACTGTAATATTGGTTACAAAGCAGACTTTACCGCCACTTCCTGTGTTGGTGAGGGTCGTATCTGAAAATTCTTTTACACATCGAATACCAGTATTGTTTGAGTGAAATTCCTTTTTCTGTTTTCAGATATGGATGAATGTGCTCTGTCCCCAAAGCCTTGTAACTTCCTATGTAAGAACACTGAGGGCAGTTATTTGTGCTCCTGTCCCAGAGGGTACAGCCTGCAGCCAGATGGAAAGACATGTAAAGGTGTGTAGTGGAAATTTTTGCAGCAATATATGTATATTTATTTAGTGCGTTTGCTTGTATTAAACATTTTAAATTAATCCTTTTAACTACATTCACTCATGGACTTAAATTGACCATGTCTCAGATCTGGATGAGTGCTCCACCAAGCAGCACAACTGTCAGTTCCTTTGTGTGAACACCATCGGAGGATTCACCTGCAAATGTCCTCCTGGCTTCACTCAGCACCAGACGGCCTGCATCGGTGAGTGCTCAGTGGGATTGAGCTAATTAGCCCTGTTCTGAGCTAATTGCCATGGGACTGCCAAGCAGATAACCTAGAAAGATTTTTATATTTAAAGCACATTTGTCTTTTTATGGCTTACATAACATAAAAGATACAGAAAGAGAGAAGGAAAAGAGTAGCATATTCTGCCTCTAAGTTACCAATGTCTGTGATCCACAAGCGATATCTCATACTATACATTTACAAAGGCCTTAACGTAATTTTCTTTGTGCAGACAATAATGAATGTGCAGCTCAGAACAGTGTCTGTGGTTCTCGTGCTTCTTGTGTCAACACTCCTGGCAGTTTCAACTGTGAATGTGGCAAAGGATTCTCACTGGATAGCTCTGGAATCGAGTGTGAAGGTAAACAAAGGAAAAGTCTTGAAATCTGTTTGTTGATTCCATGTTTATTTTGTAACTTTGTTGAAATTGTGCTCAGATGTGGATGAATGTGGCAGCAACCACCGCTGTCAACATGGCTGCCAAAACATGATGGGAGGATACCGCTGTGGCTGTCCTCAGGGATATGTGCAGCACTACCAATGGAACCAATGTGTTGGTCAGTAAACATGTTAAGGTAGTTGAGGCAATTCATTTAACTGTTACCATTGAAACTAATACCTTTTCCCCACTGCAGATGAAAACGAGTGCCAGGGAGGAACTGTGTGTGGTTCAGCCTCCTGTTATAACACATTGGGCAGCTACAAGTGTGTATGTCCTTCTGGGTTTGACTTTGAGCAGCAAAGTGGTGGCTGCCAAGACGTGAATGAATGTAGCATGGGCAACAACCCTTGTAGTTATGGCTGCTCCAATACTGATGGAGGGTACCTGTGTGGATGTCCAGGTGGTTTCTACAGAGCTGGGCAAGGGTAAGGACAAAAGCAATGGTTACTAGTTTAACTATTTCAGTTATATTTGTATGTTACTCATCTGCTACCATTGTTCTGTCCAGTCATTGCATCTCAGGCACAGGATTCCCTGGGCAGCTTGCTGAGGGTGAAGAAGATGACAGTCTATCACCAGAGGCCTGCTACGAGTGTAAGATTAATGGTGGAGCTAAGAATGGCCGACACAAGCGCAATGCTGACAGCAATGAGCTCAATCAGGTTTGTGTTCAACTTGGCACATTTTATTCTTTGTGTATTTTCTAGTTTTCCAGATCATTTTCAAAGCCTGTTTTGTTTTTTAGAAGGATGCTGTGAGCATGGCCAGTGTGGACACTCAGGATATCATACCCATGAATGTATCTTTGGCATCCCTGCTAAATAAAGAGCCTCTGTTGGAACTGCTTCCAGCACTGCAGCCCCTAGAGCATCATGTCCGCTACGTCATCACCCAAGGCAACGCCAACGAACACTTCCGTCTGCTGGAACGCCGTGATGGGAAGAGTGTGCTCCGACTTGGCAAGAAGCTCCCTCCGGCTGGGTCCTACAGGCTGGACATCACCAGTCTGCGACTGTTTGGCCCACGCAGGCTACACCAGCTGGAGGAGCAGCATGACACTGACTACCTACAAGGGGAGATAGGAGATGCCCTGCGCATCAAGCTCCATATCCACCTGCACTGAGGTGCCCAGGACTGACTGCCTTCAGGACCAGTACCACCATCAGGAGGGCTATATAAGACTGATTCAATCAGCCATCTACCACCACTCATGCAATTACGATTACTTATGTTTTTTGTTTTAATATACCCTCTCTACATCAATCTGATCCAGCGCTCTCCACTGAAAGAACTGAAGAGGTGACCAAAAGCAGCCAAGTGCTTGGACCATAGCCCAGGACAATTTGTCAGTCCACCAGCACATGCCCCATGTGTTACATTTGTCTTTGTAACACAAATGTAACACAAGAAAAGTGCTTTAAGGCCAGACCTTTCATTGTATATGATGTCTGCTGGGATATACTTCAGATTAGATTATGTATTACAGTAAACCTGGTGTACAAAATCATCTACTCAGAGAGCCAGGCTCACTGTCAGTGGTCCAAGGACTTGTCTGCTTCAATGTCATCACTAACACTGAGCAGGACATCAGCACAGGCTCCTGCTCCAAGTATTGTAGCATGTCATTTTATGTGTTGTTGAAATGTTAACACGAAGGACTGCAACATTTACATGACAATTCAGGTGTTTTCTACTTTAATATTTGTCTGTTTGTACATGGACATTACCCAATCTTTCATAACTCGTAGCTGTATTCTTCTGTGACGTGAGCAGGGATTAGTGTGAATCGTGTTGTGTGCTCCGTGACGCTGTGTGTGAACTCAGAACTGAAGAGGGTGCTAGAGTGTCCCAGCAGGGCCATCAGCAGGTTATAGCTTTTAGGTTTTAAAAATATCTGACTGACACCAGGTTGCATTTTGTATTTATCCTTTAAGGGATCAAGACTTAGGGTGCACTGATTCCAGGCCAAAGTGTTTGAGCTGCTCTGACTGGCACAGGCCTTGTTTACGACATACACATACAGTGACGTCCAGTCTTAAAGGTACATGTACGTGTAACATTACCTCAGCTAACCACAGGTAATGCATCACACTATACTCTCTGAGGGCAAGCACAGGTGGACACCTAACCTCATCTGTCAGGTCATTTCTTGAGATTCTTCTCTCAAAGAGAAAAAAGGTGCTAAATAAAACCTTTGACGCTGTACAAAGAAAAGTGCAGTCTTGAATCTGGATTGCAAAAGTGTTTTGTTACTTTTTGTTATTATGTGTCTGTTTTGTCTCAGTGCTGAAAACAATTATCAGAATTGCTTTTTGAAAATTAAATTGTATATTTTTAAGGAAAATGTAGATTTTTTAATGTTGAGGATGCCAAAATTTACTCAGAGATTTTTTGTTTGAGACTGTTTTTTCCAGACCAAAAAGTGATGTTTTCACCATTTCATGTAAAACCACTGCTTCTTAAACCAGCTGTATTATTAACATTCCTGGTATTGATATATTTTGCTTTCTCATTTACAAAAGGAAACTTGACTGACTACAGCGAGGACCTCTGTTTCTAAGAACACTTTTGCTGCACTGTTTCACGGCCTTTTACAGACTTTGTTCATTATATCCACCTTCTAACCTGGGAACCTTTGTATACTTGTATCTTTTATGATTTATTTTATTTGCCACTATGTTTTTAAAAAGGCAGTTCTGCTCTGCTACAGTGCCACTTGAAACACTATTGTTGTCATTCAAATGTCCAGATCATGTACAAATCACAAGACAAGAATGGCCTCACAAAAAGCTTCAGTGACAATCATCAAAGCACAACTTCCCAGGCAATAAAAGAATCAGCCTTCATCTGTGCTTAGACCTAACCAAAAATGACTGCAGTCTGTAAAATAGGATTCAGTAATGTTACTTTTATCCAACGGCATAAATGAAAATAAAGTACTGTTGGTTAAATTTTTTAAATGTTATTTTGGGTCTATTATGTCAATATATTATATTCAATATTTATAATTTATATTAAGTGTTTCTGCAAAGGTATCATGTGGGGTAAAAGATCCTTAATATTTGGGACACTGATAATAATACAGACATACTAATGATAAAGTTCTTTTAATCCACACTGACTCCAGTCAGTTTATCAAAAGCAATAATCATAAAAAAGTTACAAATCACATATAAGAGCAAATCCTGCCTTGTGGCTGCATTACAAGCTCCAAAACCTACACACTATTAAAGAGGAAGGACAGAGACATAGCAAAACAGAGGCTCCAAACTGGAGTTCAGGGTAGAAAAATAAAGCTTTGTTTTACAGAAAGGTTGCAGTTTGCTTCGTTAGCAGCACACTTGATAGGCTGAATAAAGCAAAGTTTACAACCATGTGACATAGACTCTACAAGAGATTACAGTAAATTCAATATGGCTTCTCAGTTTAGACACAGAGACACACAGACAACATTTGATGAAAATAAACTACGAGCTCAAACTGTTGGAAGCATCTGAACAGTTCAGTTAAATAATTATAATATTCAAACATCTGAGGCTTCTAATAAGCAATTAGCACAAGTGTGTGTCCTAATGGTTTAAAGGGGCAAACAAGTCAATAAGATGACCGCAGTAACAGACCTGCAGGGCCACAATGACATACTGTAGTTCATAAACTCATTTTGAATGTTGCCCTGATGTGGCATTTAGGTTATTACATCTTTGTAATGTTACAAGTTAAGGCAGCTTCATCAAAAGCTCTGTCAATTACAGAACATTGTGGCTCTCTTGATTCCTGTCTTTATAAAAAGTAATTTCCCCTGCAGTAAGACCTAAGATATTATCTAGGAAACCCTCATAGTCATAACACAGTATAGATAAAAGTGTCTATGTTACACTAGTGCATAATCAAACTGTCCCCTCTCCAGCCCCTCCTTGTGGTCAGTCCAGGATGATGCAGGCATGCGGCTATAAGGGTCCAGCAGGATCCTGAAGCACCTGACCAACAGGAAGATGAGGAACAGCATGAGAAGGCCTACGAAGGCCAAGGCCGTACGCTGCTCGTTGTCCACCCCGACCAGGGCCACCGGCGGGCTGCTGCTGCCCCCTCCAGAGCTGCCTCCCAGGGATGAGCTGGCTGGGGACAGCAGCAACTCATAGTCCAGCGTGGGGGCATGGTTCATCCTCCACGGGGCCCTCAGGCACGGTCTGCACACTGACTGGAGTGTGGGAGTGTTTGGTGGGAGCGTGGGGAGCAGGGAAAATGTGTTCATGAGATACTATTTATTGTTTTATCAAACTAAATTTGAAAAGTTAATCTTAAAATGGAAAAAAAAATCTATACGATATTATGCTATATACAACTTAATTACCGTAATTTATTCAATTGGGCTGATGTTCAGTTTGATAGATGTAGGTCTGTGAAGACAAGAGTGGACAGGTCTGCCCTTAATCTACCCTGACAACTTGTCAACTGTCTCACCCCAATCTGTTGTTAAACATAGACTGTTTCTAAGCTGCCTGATGAAGCTGATGGGGGGGGCTTGTTATTTGGGGTATACAGGTCACACTGCCACACCAGGGATCATCTTCACTATGGACATGGACAGATAGGAGCAGACAAAAGCTCCTGTTCCTGCTGAGACAAACACGTGTGTGATTGTGGCCAAGGCTGCTCTCTCTGCAGGGAGCTAATGGATCATAGATGGGTTTCAATCAGTAGAGACGGTACAGGGACACTGTATTTCCTGATTTGTACGGTACGTAAATGTGTGAAAGAACCACGGCAGCAGCAACAGGTGTGTCCGCACTGCATGTACACGCATGGGTCTGTGTGTAATTGGATCACAGGGTCACCAGATCAGTGGTGTTGACTACAAAGCAGGGCATCACTTTGCTGTGGTCTCCTGCTATACACACAAACTTTTACCCTTTTTGTCTGGCAAGTTCAGCTGTATTAAGTAGGTCAGAGTGCTTATAGGCCCTCTTTTCCACTCTCTGTTTGGGATTTTAAAACGAGCTCAGTTGACAAGGGTAACAAGAGGAATGAAATGAGTGGGATATTTAGAAGAGGGCATTTCAGTGTTCATTGTTGTTAGTCAGAAGTAGTTTTTGTTGTAGACATGGGAGTGTAGCTGCAGCTTCCAATCCAGAAGATGTAATACGCAACAGCTCCAGTTAAATCAGCCCCTAAAAACACAAACAAAACCAGATTAGTAAGATCAGTGTGATTTATTTTTTATTATAACATGATCTTGTTACACTGTGTTTTTCTGGGGTTTGCCACCTGCTAGTCTCCATGGACATAATACAGTTATAAATGTATCTATCTTGTGTTTATTCTTTATGGCTAAAAAAACATGCCTCTCCACAGAGCTAATGTATACAACATGGCATGGTGGCATCATGTATGTATCTCCTTGGAGAGAGAAAAATTAAATACCATACTAAGGACCATTCCAGGCAAAGCAACAACATTTTCATCAAGAAAAGCAGCTGACAGCTACACCAGAAAAATTACATAGCGCTTCTTTAAATTTCAAACACAAAAATATTGCAGCTTCACTATTAATTGTCTGTAAAATGAACAATAATGGATTTAATAATTAATTCTTATGCATTAACTGATAAAAGAATTTCATGTTCAACAAGCGTTTCCACATATTGATATGCAGACAGACTGAGTAACACATCTCCTGTAATGACTCTCAATTAGTAATCTGATTATAACATCATTACCAGCACATTAGAAGTAATGGGTGTATCATTACAAACAGCTCACTGCCATTACAGCTGCCTATCCATCAGAGCAATGTTACTGTGGGTGCAGTCTGTCCATGGGCTGACCCCTCACACGCTAAAAGAAAACACAAGGAAGAGATTGGGAAACTCATGAATAATCTACAATCACAGCTCATGTGGCACCTGGTTACATTTCAAATCATGAGGGACACTGTACACAAAGCATTAGGGCGCAGTCATCCATCTGAAAGGCACCATCACTTCAGGGGTTACTTACAAATGGGTTCAGAAGAAGTTGCAAATGTACAGATGTGGATGGAAAAACTACTTAATCAAAATGTGTTTACAGCCTAAACACAATACAGTACAAATAGAATACAAATATACACACACACACACACATATATATATATATATATATATATATATATATATATATATATATATATATATATATATATATATATATATATATATATATATATATATATATATATATATATATTATAGTATAGAATACAGAATACAAATAAAAACAACACTCTAATTAAATAGTGGTAGAATAGAAACTAGATGCCAAAGGCCAGCCTGAATAAATACATTTTAGTTGTTTAAAGTAAATCTAACCATATACTAGTATACATATCATCTATCCTTGAGGCATTCTCCAGAAAGTAACCTACAACAGTAAAGAAAATAAGAGCAGTGTTCTGCCTCTCTACTCTTTTCCATTTGACCACCACAAGATGTTTATCCTGTACAGAGTTTTGGAGTCACTTGGAGTTCAAAGATTTCTGTCCACTACTCAATAGTGTCTCCAGGGAGTTCTGCAGTCAGACACAGCCTGACAGAGCAATCACACACCTGGGAGGTGACACATACTCTGTGTGTGTGTGTGTGTGTGTGTGTATTCAGTTGATACTGACACAAATCATAAGAGATTTACCAGTAAGACACCAACCATTGTATGGCTCATCTCTACTGTTTTATATATGTACAGATCATAATTAATTAATCTCTCAATTTTTTTAATCGCATGACAGCACTAATATATATATATATATATATATATATATATATATATATATATATATATATATATATATTAGTGCTGTCATGCGATTAAAAAAAATTGAGAGATTAATTAATTATGATCTGTAATTAATTAATCTAATTAATCTCTTTTTAATCTCACCTAAAAATGTCTGAGAAAAGCCTTCAATTTGAGGTATTTTCATTTAAATTCATTATTACATTATTGTGGCAGATCAAAAGACTGATATAGATTTAAAAAAGTGACTTTATAAAGTCATTTATTGTTTAACAAATCTCTCCAATTTGGCTGTTGAGCCCAAGTCTCCATGAATAAGAAACTGTTTGCTGTAAAGTAGCAAAGATGAGGAAATCTGAACATAATAACTTTTGTCTACTTAAAGACAATAAAAAGTCCAGTCTTTCCTTAACCATATTTAAAATATTATTGATAGAGAAATGCTTTATATATGAGATCACTGGTTTTAGTCCTGGTTTAGACCTGTTTTAGTCCTACTTTAGTCCTAGTTTAGTCCTGGAATGGGTTAATCCTGGTTTTAGTCCTGGTGTTAGTTCTGGTTTAGTCATGGTTTAGTCCTGGTTTAGACCTGGTTTAGACCTGGTTTTAGTTCTGGTTTTAGTTCTGGTTTTAGTTTTGGTTTAGTCCTGGTTTAGACCTGGTTTTAGTTCTGGTTTTAGTTCTGGTTTAGTCCTGGTTTAGACCTGGTTTTAGTCCTGGTTTAGTCCTGGACTGGGTTAGTCCCGGTTTTAGTCTTGGTGTTAGTTCTGGTTTAGAGGCGCACAGGAGGAAGCGCGGTTTACGCAGCGCACGCGAGAAAACACGATCCACACGCGGCGCACGAGAGGACAGCGGTGTCCGCCCAGTAACTACGGAAGGAAACGTGGTCCGCGCGTTCTCATGTTAATGACGATGATGAAGGTGTGTGTTGGTTTGTGTTTGTGTGTGTTTGTGTGTGTTTGTGTGCGTGTCCCCTCATGTGGCAGGTCACTATAGGACAGTAGTGCAGACATCATGAGCCTATGCAGGTTGTTTTCACCAGTGACATTTAAGTTGTAGACGATTTTATATTTGTTATTTTCTTTTATATCTCATGTCGGGAGAAGAATTTCCAAGACACGAATGCGTTTTTACCTGTGCGCTGCTGACTCTGTTCTACTGGCTCTTCGACCTCGTCCATCGTGCGACTGACGCCGCCAACGTGAACATGACGTCGCTCTTACTGCGCGCGTTTTGTGTGGGTTTCCGGCAATGAGTGGAATTACCGAAATAAAAAAAATTATAAATGTGTTTTTGTGTGTGTTGTTGGCCCAACAATACATAAAAACAGGTTTTATAATAAAGCAACTCGCATACAGAAACAGTAAAGTTAGAGATTAAAAATGAGATTAACGCAATTAAAAAACATAACGCGCTAAATATGACTAATTAATTAATCGCAATTAACGCGATAATTTGACACCCCAAATAAATAAATAATATAATATAAATATAAATATATATATATATATATATAATATATATATATATATATATATATACAATGTCTTATTAAAAATATATCAGATAGACATTTAGATCAATATAGCCCAACCCTATCTGTTTTATGATCACTGTGTATGTCAACTGGTTGTGACAACCAGAATAATCTAAACAATTAAATCATTTCAGACTGATTAGAAAGCTTGTTGAGTGTATACACTCCTCTGCTTCAAGACGAATTGGGTAAAATCACGTGGTTGGACTATGAATTCTGAAAACAGAGGGAAAAGTGAGGAAAATCTTTAGTTTACTAAGAGTCTACACAATTTAAAATGACGATGTTGCATTAACTTCTTAGGTTCTTTTTAAAGACAATGCAGTAAAGTGTATTTACCTTGTTGACATGTTTCGGCTGCTAGCTGCAAGCCATCTTCAGAACTGTCACCAGTGTTGGTGGTGACGTGTCGTATATCAGCTGTTGTTACTTCCTGTAGGCGTGGTCAGCCTGATGGACCTGGCAGGTCGCTCAGACTGACCACGCCTCCCGTCGCCCGGTGTCTCTGGAGGAGGGTGTCCCAGGTGTGTGAAAGGAGGAACGCTCCGTCATCACGGTTAATGCTGTCCGTGCCTCGCTTTCTGATTTCAATGGTCTCCTTGATCCAGCGTTTGAACTTGTTGTTTTCCGATCCAATGATCCGAGCCCCGTCCCAATCCATAATATGGTTGTTCCTTTTACACTGGTCTGATATGGCGGATTTTAGGTTTTCCTGTTCTGCTTTGTCTTTTTGTGTTCTGGTGAGTCTCCCTGACGTTTCCTTTTCGCATTCCTTTTGGTGTTCCTTTTTTCGGATGTGAAATGCCCGGCCTGTTTCCCCTATGTATGATTTATTGCATGATTTGCATTGGATTTCGTAGATGGCATTGCATTTTTGTTCTTGTGGGATTTTGTCCTTGGGATGTACGAGTAGTTGGCGGAGTTTTGTGTATGGTTTTACTACAGTGCTTATGTTGTGTTTTTTCATGGCTCTCTGGATGGGTTCAGTTATACCTCTGATGTATGGTAGTGTGACTATGTTCTTGTGGTCCTGCTGCCCTGTGTTGCATTGTTGTGTTTTTTTCCGGGGTTTGTTGGTTTTATTGATAACTTGTTGTCTGCCTTTGTTTATGGCCCAGCTGGGATACTGACATTGTTTGAGTGCTTGTATGATGTGTCTCTCCTCTTCCTCCCTGACGACAAGATGGCTTGCAGCTAGCAGCCGAAACATGTCAACAAGGTAAATACACTTTACTGCATTGTCTTTAAAAAGAACCTAAGAAGTTAAAGTATATAAGAAGACATAATGAACATCATTGGCTTAAGACGATGTTGCATTTTAACCTGATAAGGATGACAGTGCTGTATGTGTAAAACATAGTGGCACTGGAGGTGGCAGATATATAAAAAAATGAATAATATTGCTATTGTTGTTTTGGAAATATGCAACATTAAGGGGCCCATATTACGTTATGTTCTGATCTATGTTATAATGTTGTTTCCTCATCAAAAACATACCTGGAGTTGTATGTTGTTTCTTTCAGACATGTTTAACACACAGACCCTGCATATCTAGGCTGAATGCTTTGTTTGGATTGTTTTCCATTTGAGAGACCTTGTGATGGCATGTGGTAATTTGGAGTGCTTAGCTGTGTTTTTAAATGCCATACACCTTCACTAGAGATATTTGGATAATTTCAGCCCTGAAATTGTCAATATATGTTGAACAAAAGGTAAATGGTAGCTGTCAACTTGAAAACTACTTCTTCATGACATCACAAGGTGGAACAGAACATTCTGAGCTTTGGAGATGTAGACAGACTAATAATAAAGGGCCACTAAAACATGTGCAAATGAAACAAAACACAATATGCTTTATGT